ACTCAGTAACTGAAGTGGTTGTTTTGTTTTTTTTTTTTCCTTTTTTTCTCTTTACAGTTGGCAAACCTAAAACACAAGTGATCAGTGCTTGTCGGGATGCAATAAGAAGCAACAACTTTAACATGCTGTTCAGGATAATGCGTGTGGGAACAGCCTCTTCTTAAAACAGCTGGAGGAGCAGCAGCTGCAGAGAGGCAGCGTTCCCAGGCAGTCACGGACCGGTGACAACAAGCGGTTAATTCAGTCCCCTACTCCACTGCAGGGTGAAGGAATTGCAAAGGTAGCGTTTTAGTTAAGCTATCAGGTGAGAAATGTTGTTTCACAGGCCAAAGCTGTGAGGAGAAAGCATCAGAGTTTTAAGTGCAGATGTATTTATGCAAGACAAAAGGTATAACCTTGGAACAGTTATTTTTCTTACAATAATTTATTTATGTATATTAATATATTTTGTAGTTAAGGCATTGGCCTTTTCCATTAAAACTTAGACTGGTTTGACTGCTTGTGTTCTGTTTTAGTTGGGGAGATGCGTACGGTTAAGTTTATTTGTTGAAAAAAACCCAAACCCAAACCACTTTTCTGGTTCTGCTGCATCGTCTCTGTGCACAGTAAGCACTTAAACTCTCTGTGTCGGAGAATCCCGGGTCTCGTTGCAGGGATGTGCTAGGTAAACTGCAATTTGGTGCACTAGAAGCACCAAAGGGATAACATCTCCTTGCTGGCTTTTAAGCCAGAAGATCTTTGAAAGCTGCCCAGTTCCAGGATCCACGCAGGTAGGAAGTGGCCTGTTTCATATCCGACACTCTTCCCCACACCTGGATTGTAGGAAGTTTTGCTTCCAGCTACTGGTTCCATGTGACTGCTGGAAAAAACAGCAGTTACTGAGGCGGGCAAAGGTGCATTTCAGGAACAACAGAAACAAACTACACACCCAGGCTTGGTGTGCATACTTAGGCAGAGCTGTTGGTACTTAATGGGATCAAAAGGAGAAGGTACTGAAAAATGTCTTGGCTCCTGGCTCAGACCTGTTTATTAATTGTGGGATCTCTTAGAGTTGGATTAACATATTACAGTAAGGCTCTATCTTAGATCTGAAGATATTTTAGAATCTTTGCCAAAGCAAATTTCTTTTAGAAGCTATAAATACCCTGCAGAGGATGGAGGCTGAGCCCCAGTGCTCCTAGCTGCTGCGCCATTCACCACCCGTGCCGCGTACGGCCGGGCAGGGAGGAGGTATTCCCGCTCCGAGGTGAAGGTCTGGGGTGGCTTCTTGTGGCTGCTGGGAGTATTCGCGTCCTGCAGCCGGCCGGTCTCTTCCTTGCCACTGCTGAATTAAAGCCAGCAGCCCACCGTGTGTCACAGAGCAACCGGTGAGCGTGCAGCCAGTTGAAAGAGGAATGGAATTCTTGCAATGTGTTTTAATCCCCCCAGACGATCCCTTGCCACTTCTTCAGCCCCTCCTGTACGGAGAACTGTGCTGCCCAAAGCGCAGATCTCTGTCACTTCAGCTCTGCAGCAGGAGCTCATTTGAATCCTTTTCAGAACCTCGTTGTTAGTCAAATCCAGCTCCTCGGTGAAAGGGCGGTGAGCCACCCATGCTGTTCTAAGCAAGGGAGCTTTTGAGACTTGATTATGGAACAGTCTCCTGGCAAAAGTGCTGGGCTTCCTGCCACCTGCTGTACCTGTTCCCACTGTCTCAACCTCTTGTTCTTTACGTTCAAAATCCTAGTGCTTACTTACATTTACGTAATCCCTTCAATGATAAGAGAGTGGCTCTGATCCAAAAGCACCTTTCCCATCAGCCTGATTTTCAGGGCTACACACCAGACACTTCCAGTCCCAGCTCTGTTTTGCTCTTGGCAGTGAGGTCAATCCCCTGCTCACAGTCCAGACCTCTGATAAGGCTGATTTCCCCTGGCTAAGATTCTGTCAACAAATTTGTCATTTATTTTCCCATAAAAACAACTTTTGCCAAATGTAAAAATCCACATCCCGTAAGCTGAAGTGACACCAGGTTTGCAGATGCCTGTTGAAATAAAGCAGCGCTGGGCTGGCGTGCAGCAGCAAGCTGGCAGAAGCTGAACCTGCACCGGGAGATCTGCGGGAAACAGTCCCTGCTGGTACAACTCGGCTCAGGACGGAGGCCTGATGATCCCGTTCTCGGGGACGGGAGGGGAACTGGTCACAGCAGGTTAACCAGCTGGTCGAGTCCAGAATAACCTCTGAAACCGCCTTAGGAGAGCTGCGTGTTGCTAGAAATTCATGGGCAAGGCGGCTTAGATGGCACCACGCCTTGGCACGTGTGCTGGCGATCGGGTCTAGGTCCCCGTCCTAAAACTTCTGTGGGGGCTGGAGCCTTCCCTGTAACAGCCCCTTCCCCGGGAAGCGCTGCGGCAGCACCGTGCGGGATCGGCGCCTGCTGGGGAGGGATCTGTAGAGCAGTGGTTGTCAGCGTCCTAACTCGAGTTCCAGTTTGGAGTTGGAAAAAACCCAAAGCAATTGGAACTGACACGTGAGAACAGGTTATCTGATTTTAGCCCTTGTTTCCCCAAGTCCCATGGGTTGCTGCTCATCTTAATACTAATTCAGTGAATACCCGGTGTCAGAACTTTGCTGCGTGTTTATCAATGCCAAAACCGTTCCTTCGCTCTGCTCTACAGCTGAACTGTTTTATCTCGCTCCATATTGAATTGTTCCTGTTTTCAGCTACTTGGCAATCTAGTAACCACCCCGTTCCCCCCCCAGATTTGCTGGGAAGCGTTTGTGTAACTCGGCGCTTTGGTAACTGAAAGCTGCTGGTTCCCTGCCGCAGTGCCGGGCTCCGGAGGTGCCGTCAGCTGGTGCATCCTCACGCAGCCGAGCTGACCCACGGCTGCACGAGCCACCTTGCCTGGTAGGAAGTTTCTGTTCCTCGCACTCCGTAAAACCATTCACTTGCTGTTCTTCATCCTAGTTCTCTATATGGTCCTGCTTACTCATTCGGTGGGGATGTATGCATTTCATACTCCTATTTCTTTCCATACTGATCCAGAGTACTTTGCAAGCAGCTACACCTATTTGTAAATACTGACTTGTATCCAGCTAGAGCAGAGAGGGCTCCCGTTATCAGCACAGACTAAACGAAGACCCCTCCCTCTCCCCCAGGTAGCTGGTGTCATTTGATGTTCTGTCAAGCGGAGTCTTTCCCCTGTACCCCAGTGCCAGCCGTGTGTGGGGCTGTCCTTGGCTTTTGGGACCAAACAGGAAGGGTGGGAGAGCAGAGTCAAGTTGATCTTTAAATCTTTGAATGCTAACTGCAAATTTGGCTTCTTAAATTACTTCATCTCAGTCACCGGAGGCAGAAGGGTGGTTCCCTGTGTGATCAGATGGGTACGGCTCGCTCGAGTAGAGGCTGGTATGCCCTCTAGTGTATTATTTATTATTAAAAAGCAGCAAGCTCCAGAGCGTGCAGCTTCTTCCTTTCTTCTGGGAGGCTCTTCCAGGACCTACCGAGCAGCTCTTAGGCTCGTAATGCAGTAGAATAAGTAACTGTTTTATTCATCAATTAATTTACTCCCACCTTTGCCTAGCCGACCATGCTGTGACTAGCTGTGGCATCTGTCACCTTTGAAACTACCCAAATAATTTTGCACTTTTTTTTCTTTTGAAAGCTCAGTTACTTGTCTCTTTCTACTAGAGCAGCTTGGAGTAAGAACTGCTTTCTCCCCCTGAAGAGCTGCTGCCCTGATAGACAGCAGGCAGCCTCTGAACCCACTGATGGACAAGGAGAGCCCCATCCTCACTAGCTTCATCCCCTTGTCTTTGTAAATAGCATAAAACAGTAGCAAAGGGAAGATGAAAACTGAGCAAGGACGTCTTGGCAGTGCACAGAGAAGCCAACTCAGGGAGATGAGGTGGAATATGAAGGAGCTGGTATAAATTTTGTAGCAGCCGGGCCCGAGCAGCTGCTCACAGTCCGGGACTGCACCAACACCCAAACTAAACGGTCCTTCAGGACACGCTGAATGGCTGCGTTGTCCCTGTGCTCTGGCCTCGGTGGGGACCACGGCACCTCTCCCTTTGGAAGCAAGGGCAGCAGCCTCATGTTGCCCTGCTCCCTTTTTCACACCCTGGGTGTTGGGATCACTGCTGCAGTTGTTGCTCCGGTACTTCCCTGCAGGCGTCCCGCTCTGCTGGGGGAGCATGGACACCCTGTGCCAGCACAGCCAGCCTGCCCTGGGGCTCTGCGCTGGCCTTACGCTGTCTTCAGCCACAGGCAGGGGACCGGAGAAGCAGCAGACTCTGATCCAAAGCTCCCCTCTCCCAACCCAACAGGCAGGAGGGAAGGCAGCGTGCGCGCTCTCCCCAGCCCCCTGCCTGCCTTGTCTGGCTCAGAGAAGCTGTAAGCACACCTGTGTCTCTTCCTTGCCAAAAAAAAAAAAAAAAAAAAATGCTTTAGGCAAGCATGTGCAGGCCAGGGCTGAGTCCCCTGCGGGGTGTTCTGCAGCCTGGCTGCCTCCTGAAGCAAGCAGCTCCGCTCCGCGCCAGCCCCTGGGGCTGGGCTGGACAGGCGAGCAGTACGGCAGGGGGGTGTGGGGGGAGGCAGTGCACCAACACCACCCCCTTTCTTGTACCATTTATCACAGGCCTCGGATCTCTGCTTCCTGGGAAGACTTCCCTGGAGCCTGGCAGACCCTGGGATCAAACTAAGCCAACCCGAGGCCGGGCTGGTGGCGACCCCGCCACGGAGAGGCAAGTTATCACCTTCCCACTCCCAGCCCGCAGCTGGAGCCAAGCGCCATCCGCATCCCCACACAAGGGCAGGACACAGGAGCTGGTCTCTTGTCTAGTTAGCTTGTAAATTCTTTGGAGAAAGGGCTGCATCTGGGTCTGCCTGCACTGCGTTTAGCACGATGAAGTCCTGCTCCTTGTTGCAGTGCCAGGTCCTCCTCGATGCCAGCAGCTTTACAGCCTCACTGCCTTCTTTCCCAACTCCACAGTTGTGCAGCTGGAAAAACCTCCTATTTCCCAGGGCAGATCCTTTATTTCTACAAACAGCGAACACAGTTAAGCCCCAAAAAATGTTCTGGGCATTTTGTAACAAAACTTGCCCAACCAGTGCTTGAAGCATTTAACTGACCTGTTTCCTTTTTTTTTTTTGGTAATAAAAATCAGTCATCAGCTTGGGGCAATGCACAGTTGTAATTTTCTCCCTGGCAGCTGAGAGACACATCCCACTGTGCTACTTCCACAAGAGAACAGCTGGGAAGCTGATGGAGGAGCTGGCAGTTGTGTTGTAAGGCCCGCCCCCCCTCCACACAGCATGAAAAGCTGTCAGCCTGGATTTCTGTTTGTACAGTTAAAAAAAGTCACCTGCACCTCGCTGTGGTAGGGTAGAGCTCCTATACAGCGTGATGAAGTTAGCAGCAGCAAAGTTTGGGCTTAGCCAGGCCCCAGCTGAAAGCCTGGCTGGAAACCTGCCCCCAATCCCCCCCACTGCTCTCTTCTGTGGGACGATGGTCACACTCTGCCCCATCACTCATAATAGACAAAGGAAAAATCCCAAAATCCTGCTCTGTTCGGATGCTTGTTCAGGCGCGCCAGGCTGCGATGATTGATGTATTTCACAAACTTCATCGTTTCTCTGTCTCTATAAACTAAGGCCATGCAGTTGTCCTCTGGATTCACTGTTAACAGCTAGAAGATGAAAATAAGGGAGGAAATTAATTTCACAAAAATGGCTTTGGTATCGGTTCCTCGGAAGAAACAAAATGGTTTCAAAAGCAGCCAAACCAAGGTCTGGAGCTAGGAAATTAACTGTGTCACTATTTTCATTTTAACACCCTTCCACCTGAAGCACTTTGCCAGCAAGGTTCAGCCCAAGGCAGCCTGGTTGTCTTAGTCTGGCCGTTCAGTGCTCTGGCTTGTACTGCTACTGACTGTGATCCTAGTGAACAGCCTGTCCCTGGAAAAGCAGCCCCCTGGCCTCCCCAGTGCCCCCGGGTGCAGGCAGGATGAGGCACTGGGAGCTCGGGTGCCAAGCTTTCAGCGAATGCTGGCCTTGAAGCTGAAGCCAGAGCTCTGCCCCGTGCAGGAATCCAGGCAGGAAGGCTCCAGTGCAGCACCCAGCACCCCCAGGATTACGGTGACGTTACAACAAAGTCTAGTGATGTCTCTCCACCCTCAACAATTTTATCAAATTTGCAGCTAGCAACTACGGGCCTTACCTCTTCATCTTCACCTTTAGCGATGTAGGAAGTAAAGCCTCCATATTCTGGATCCCAGTCTTAAAAGAGAAAAGAAAGACCCTTAGAAAGTTCAACACTGTCCAGGCTGTCTACAGCCTTCCTGGTGATGCTGGTTTTCCACCCCACTCTGCACAGTTACTGGATACAGGACGATCCCCAGTTTACCTACTGACAGTCTACATTTTTTTTTTTTCCCCTCCTCTTCAGAAGCAACTTGAAGCAAATGTACTGGATTTGCCCTTTACCACAGACAGGCCATTTAAGGTTGCTTGGCACTCTGCTCCTCACATGCAGAGCATTTTGCCTTAGCAGATATGCAAAAGTGTTTCCATACAATTACCAACATGTGCCGGGTGGTTTCAGCTGTGCATTCTGGGCTCAGCTGGCCCAAAGTGCTTATGTTTAGCTTTTTGTTTTCACCACTATCTCAACAAACAATCGACCAAAAATGCCTAGACATGCCTGAAGTAACTTTTGAAAACCCTAGGCTTTGTGAATTGGAGGTGGTGATAATTCTGATGCGAAAAGGGGCGAAATGGAACACTTTCAGCAGGTATCCTGGCCACCAGACCCTCCACCATGCCCAGAGCCCCGGCTCAGCGCCAGGAAAGGTCTGGGAGGAGCAGCTGTGCCCTCTGTCCACACGCCACCTCCCGGCTCCGGCGGGAAAGGTCAAAGCTGATCCCAAGGCCACACTCAAATCTTTGCGTAAAACTACTGAAACCAGGGCTTATGCAGAAGCAAGGACTAGGAGGAAGTCTACAGAGCCCTTCTGTGCAGGAAAAAGCAGGGAGATCTTGGCTGTTGTAACACTGCTGAGAATTCAGAAGTCCTACCTTTAGGCAAACCTTGTAAGGAGAGCCTGACGTCGCTGTTTTGTCCACTTACCCTCACAGCCACAGAAGAAGAGCAGGTCGAGAGCAAATTCTGTTGCTTGAGTGTCATGGACTAGAGTATAGTGCCCGTGGGTCCAGCGCCTCAGCTCCCCTGCACACACGGGAGTACCCGAGCCTAGGAGAGGGAACCAGCAAGCCAGGGGCAAACAGTGAGGCTGTGCAATAGCTGCCGCCTGCGCAGCTTGAGGCACGGGGGGGCGAGCCCCTGCCCTGCCACGCCACCGGGAAACTGTCTTGGCTGGCCCCAGCAAAGCGTAAAGAAAGCAAACCCACAGATCTCAGGTTAACTTTTTTCTACAGGTGGCTCTGAATTATGTACTCTAAACAACACAAAGGACTGGGGTCAAGCTATGATGGTTTAACCAGTTCCTCCTTTGTTTTGTCCCTCCCTGCATTTGCAGTAGAGCTCTGAACCTCAAGAGCCAGCGACTGCTCTGGAGTATGTTGAAATGACCAGAAGCTTCAGTGAAGAAAGATATTGCTCTGAACTCACTCTTCATCTGCCATCCCAGGAGGTACATCAGAATCTGGGGAAGCCTTTTTTTTTTTTTTTTTCCCCTCATTTCTCTAGCTCGGTTTTTAATCCATGCAGCCCCAAACTATGCCATCCTCATCTGTGAGTTTAAAATCACACGGCGGGGCCATGGCAGAGAGGCAAAATGGCTAGCCGCGAAAATCAGAAAAACAAAGCCTTCGTACCAGGTAAGTGTTCTGGTGGGATTTTCAGTAGGACTTGTTTTTTTAATTACCTTTTATTCCAGTGTCCACTAACTTGCCTGACTCAGTGCAAGATGAGCGTTTTCAAAAATTCTACCTTTAAACTTCAAAGCCACTGTTTTCAATAAACAGCTGTTTAAATAGCGCTTTAAATAAATTTTGGAGCCACGAATCCAAAATTAATCTGATCTTTTATAGCAATGATATCTCAATGATGCCAACTAAGTGGTTATTCAGGCTGGCAGCATTTTCTGGAAGGTTAAATCCTAGTTTTACGTATTGGTTTTCTAATTCTAATTATCTTCTGATCTGCTTAACTTTTTCTCCTTTTGGTTTGGTCTTATACAAGAATCTACTTTATATGAAGCAGGACCATAACTACTGGCAAAAGATTATTGGGCAATTAATTAACACCCTGTCTCCTCACCCATGCTGTAACTGCCACAAAAGTCCCACCCTCAAGACTTAAGCCTGCATCTTCAAGTTAGTCTTTATTCCAAATTCTTTTGCAACGGTCACTTATTTTGGATACCCAGTCTGACACGATTCAAGTCCCATGTTTGTGCTGGTGCCTTGTGCTGGCTGCAGTACGAGATGAAATGCTAGTTCCATGAAAACCATTGGGAATTCTCCTGCCAACACCCTTAACGTCAGGGTTCTGCTCAAGTCCCTTTGTGCTGCTGCTGCTGGACTTACCATTCTGCGTCTCACTGTCTTGTGCTTCGGGGCTGGTGTCTGGCTGCTGGGGATTGCTGTCAGCGTGTTGTTCAGCCTCTTCCTGCTCCAGTTTGGGACTGCTGTGCCCAGCCGTGTCTACTGCTCTTCCTTCCCCAGCACCTTCATCCTCATCAGAGGGAGCCAGGAAGTGCAGCTTTAGGCCAGTGAAGTTGGAAAGCAGTAAAAACAAGGCCTCAGAGCGTAAGAACTGCAGGAATTTCTTCAGGATGTCAGGAAGGCTGTCTTCCTCTGCTGCCTCATAGAGTCTGAAAGACAGCAGAGGTATCAGCAGATAACGTCTCCTTGTTGGAGAATCAACAAGGACCACGTCCACGGGGGCATCAGCCAGTGCAGCCTCAGGGCAGGTCCTGCTTGGCCTGATCAATAGGGGCAGGATGCCATCGTTCCCCACCTTTTATTGGCCGGACCCCGGCTACTCCACTGGATGTCTTTGTTCTGCAAAGCTTCGCACAGGAGTTGGTATTTCTCTTTCTAGGAGAGAAAGACAGTGCAGGAACTTTAACATTTAGCTCCCAGGTCTCCCTTGGTGCGCTAACAGCAGCAACCCCCTGCTCTCGGATAAGGCACTCTAATTTTTTTTGAACTTGTTTAAGGCACCCAAGGACTGCTGAACAGAGGGGCACAGCCTGGGTGGGCATCATGTCTTTTCAGTGCCCGTGACCAACAGGTATCAAATGCTACTTGGATTGTTTGCTGGGTGAGAATGCAGCTTCAGTGAGATATGGATGTCCAGTAAACCAGAGGTAAATCAGCCTTCAGAAGCAAAGCTTTTCAAGTAAGACCAAAACCATTATGGGTCATTTGTTTCAGACATGAGTTCCCTAAGTGCTGCGAGAGGCTGGGAAGGACACTCTGGTCACCACAATGCTGAGAATGTTGAAGCAAAATTTGTGACTTTTGACAAGTCTGTATGCAGCAGTGTACAGGCAGGCAGAGGGGATCCACCCACAGAACGGATGAGGTTGGAAGGGACCTCTGGAGGTCACCTGGCCCGCTCCCTGACAGGGAGTGAGGTTAGAAGGTGTTTTAGTTGACGGCCGAACAAGGCAGGCCTTTCCCAGTCTGCAGAACATGTGGCACCCACCAGCTCTGTGACCTCTTCCAGCAGACCACTTCACACCAAACCACTGGGCTCACCTTAAGAAAATCTTTCAGAAGAATTTCTGATCGCTCCTCAAATTCCTCCTGGATTTGAGCTTGGGAGTCCATGTCCAAATAAACTAGATTGATCCACTCATACAAGATTTCATGCTGGAAGGGAAACGGATTTGAATGGTGAAGAGTAAAAACGATTCCCCAACTCCCCCTTGCCCAGCTGGCCACAGGGCTGGATTCCTCCACATGCACACTACATTCCTTTTTTTTTTTCCCCCAGTTGCACCACGAGTATTTGCTGCCTTCTCTGCACTATTGTAGGTATGTAAAATGTACAGAGTCAAGAAAGATACACAAGAAAGAAACCAGCTATGAATTTATGGACAAGAAACAAAAAGAGGGAATGGGCTAAATTAAAGATTAAAGCATCCCCAAGCATCAATGCATTCCAGAACAGGTATTCCAGGGGCGTTAAAGAAACAGAAATGCAGGTAAGCAGATCTAGGCCTGTTACTCACATCATAGGGGATGTGCGGGCCCCTGGGCAAGGGAGCTTCACTGTGGCGCGCAGGTCGGACTATTGATGGGCCGTGAAACCAGCCGCTCACTGACAGGCGGCACTTCTCCTCAGACAGAACTTCTGACACCTGGAACAACGTTGAGCAGTGTGTTACTGTTTAGACTACAAAACATTTAAGGACCAGCTGTAACAGGCACCATGTGGACTCGTCAGAGGAGACGGACCTGACTCCAGAGAACCCACCGCATACACAGAAGGGTCAGACAAGGGCTAGACCAGGCAGGATTATTCTTGGTTTACAGAACGAGGCTTTAAAACAAACTTTGATGCTCAAGCCCATTGTAGATTTCCAGAATCCCAGTCCAAGCTTTTACTCCAAGCTCCTAGCAGAATCCATTCCCTCTCTCAGAGCTCTGAGTCATTCCGTTATTAAAAGTAATGGTATTTTAGTTTTCTACCGTTTGTTCTGTCGAAGAACCAGCTACCACAGGCTGTGAAAATCAGCTGTCACAGCTTCATCTGGAAACTCAACATCTGCCTGATGCTTTTGGCTCTGGAATAAAGGTCTACCTATCTGTCAGAATAAGAGCAGCCCTCTATCCTGGCATGTAACCTGATCTGTGGAAACTCTTGGTTTTCAAAGTGATGGCCACTGTTAAATCTTCAACAAATTGCACACTAAAGTAAATTGGGCTAAATTGAACAACTGCACCTTCTAGGGTGCTGTAATATAAGGGACGTTTGAAGAGAAAGCCGCACCATATAACTGGTTGCTGGCCACAAGCCATGAATTTTTCAATAGCACATAAAGACTTTTTGCTGGCTTTTTTTTTTGTTTGTTTGCTTTGTTTTCTAGACCAGGTTGATGGAACAGGAGGAAGAAACAGTCCATTCCAAAAAGGTTTTGGCTCTTACTGTTACAGAGCTGTAGTGGCCCTTTCCTTGCATGACAGAGGTGTTCTAGATTATTTGGAATGGCTACTGAATCCTAAATCACTTGGGAAACAGAAACCAGAAAACTGCCTGCCACTGAGAGGTCACAGACCCGCTCTGCTCAGCAAACACCCACAGCTGTATGTTGTCTCCCAAAGAAGTGTACACCATGAAGTCCAAAAACTGAAGAAGTGTTAGGAAGTACTACTAAGTGCTCTTTGCCCAATGTCTAAGAGGGCTTTAAGGCTGGCACATGCTGTGAAGGCGTCGTATCAGTCTGGCCCCTACACTGTCCTGTACCGGTAATTCCTAGGCTCTGCTCTTTACTGACAAGAGGTCAAAGAAATGATTCAGTGCTCCAGCAAATGCTCTGGGCACAACCAGTGAAGTCCAGATTTGGGAGGCTTTAATTCACAGCACTCCCAGTTAAGCTTAATGTTTATTTTAAAAATAAATTTATTATTTAAGCTGAGCTTATTGCCTGTGTTAACAGTATCAGAGACAGCACACAGGACTCTGAATAGCGCTAGTGTGTGTAGGGCAGTAGGAGGCAGTCACAAAGCTAACCGGAATATGGATTTTCATGACAAGATTAAATCACTACCTGAAAACAATTAAGGCAGTGACCAAGTAGGTGCTTTTGTTAGTTAACTGTAAGACATCAACGACACAAAAATAAAACTTTAAGCAGTCTAGGCAAGGACCTGCCCAACCTACATCTTCCTCTCCAACCTTCTGCTCTTTGGCCCAGTTTGTTACAGCCCGTGGTAATCAGAGGTGTTGCCAATGTCAGTCAGGTGTTTGTACCACACAGCTACACAGACTGTTCACCCTGTTCCCAGGCACCTTCCTGAGAAGTGCCACCAAGTGCTACTTAACCATGGCAGCATTTCTACTGCAGGGCACTGCGCTACATCTGTGCTACTGAGGGAGTAAAGCCACATCTGCATAGTGCCCTGTTGGCAAGGTGAGGTGCTGAGGAGCTCTCCCGGAGCAAAGTCATGGCATTTGCATGAAAAATGTGAGCTAGTTTAAAACAAGCAAACGAAAACCTCTCTCGTCACCACAGCCAAATCCACAGCAGTGGCTTGCCAGGATAGCAACACAAAATAGAAATTCCCAGGATGATGAAGCCAGACTGACAGTTTAAAGCTGGCTTTGTCAGTTCTTGTCCTCCTTGAAGTCATGCCTTTAACACACAGCACTTAGCATGAGTATCCACTCTACCTGTACTACTTCTCCCGTTCCCTTCTCCCTCCCCGTCAGGATTGTAATAACACACAGAGTGAATAACCACAACAATGAGAATCAAGAAATGACCAAGAGACAACTCCTTGCCTGGTGGAAAGAGACTGGAGACACTTCAAAGAAAACCAGTGTGTTCCACGAAGGCACTAATGACTTGACGATTTGCTGTGGCTGAAAGTGTTCTGAGAAGGAAGAAAACATACTCTGGTTAAGATATGAACTCACTAGAAAGTGCCATTTCTCTCTGTGCCATTGTGACTGGCGAGACACCTGGGTGTAAGGGATGGAGCTCAGAGATAGGGCTCGGTGAGGAATCAGTGGATGTCTACTGATGGAAAGGGAAGTTATCACCAGTGATTTAGAGTTCCAAGCACAGTTGCTGGCATAACTTCCATCATGCCTCCACTCTTGGCCCGCACAAAAAAATGGAAAAAAAGTATGCTTCTTTGTCTGCCATCACCCATTAGTACTGACTGCAAAGCCCGCTACAGCCCATCTCTAAGGTGCAAATTTTATCTGTACATCAGCTTATCTGGACAAAGGAGAAACTCTTTATCTCCCTTCTACTGTCTGAGGAGGGAGCTGCTGCAAGGGGTGTGGAAGCTTCATCTTTTTCAGCTGTCTCGGGCTGAGCTTGGAGCTCTTACCATCAGTGCTAAACAGGTCCAGCGTTCCCCCGTCGCTTTGCTCCCAGGGTGGGACGAGGTACAGGATGAAAGCAATTCTCCGGCCTTCCAGCTCGTCGTCGTGGCACAGCAAGACATCTGCAAACACACACGTTTTGCTGCAGTAGAGCCTTCCCAGCACACGCTTGATTCATGCCAATGGCTGCTTCCCAGCTTTGTCCCCGCAAGAACACAACAAGAAAAAACATGCTCTTTCCAAGAACTGCATTTACACTCGTCAGCATCACCAGCCCAAGGTTTGCAAGATTAAATTCTGTGGGCTTGTGCTGCAATTGGCAGATTAGCCCACTCTGAAGGTACAGGCAGTTATAACTCATCATCCACCCCTCCCCGGCTGCCACCAGGCACAGTGGATGGAGATTCCCAAGTTAAATAATGATTCAAGCTCTTTTAAATATAGAGCTGCCCTTTGAGTAGGTTTGTTGCTGGAACAGAAGGAGGGGGAGCCCTGGGAACATAAAAGCTGGACTAACAACTGCTTGTGCAAAAGACTTTAAAAGCAGAGTTGGGAGCAGTAAAAATTTTCTCCTTCCAACAGTGAATTTTCATGACTAGTCAGAGTTGCAACCTGGACTCACCAAGGTGATGTTTTAGCACCAGACTTCACAAAATCAACTGTAGCGTTAGGAAGCTGAACATGCCACCCTTTTGCAAGGGGGCAGGCATGCAAACACAGGCTGAACATCTCCGAAAAGGTGCGGGCTTGCAACAGCCCTGGGCCCAGTTAAAGCCATCAGCAATAGAACTAGAGCAACCGTTTTGCCATAATTTGTACTTTATATTCTGAGACTATGACTTGCTGCTGCTAGCTTCTGGGACCCTCTGGAACTGGAAAGGGGTTGGGGTGGGTTATGTAATTAGGCATTCTATAGACCTATTGTTCCCTACACACCCACAGAAACTTTAGGGAAAAGGCCGTTTATAGACTGACCAGTGTATTCATATTTAGCACAAGAGATGTCAATAGTTGGCTCCAGCTCAATCTGGGTCACAGCAGAAAGCCACGCTCGGAATTCATCACACATGACATGCCTGAGAAGACAAGCACAAGGTAAAGCATCCTCCAGCGTTATAAAACACATCACTATGGCCTAAACTAATTTAACACCTCCCCTCCAGCTGTGTAAACAGCTAAGGGTGCTGCTGCTACTGCCGGTGATGGCGTATTCCTGGGGAACCACACCAGAGCTGGCCAGGAACACAGTCCAGTATTCACAACGTTGCTGAGATTAACAAGCAGCGAGCATGAAATCCGTTGTAAGGGGAACGGGGAAGCATTTCAGAAGTGACAGATAGGGGAGGTCTGAATTGGATTGCACTCCTCCGAGGAAAACTGGTAACTGTCTGCAGGGCCACGACGTGCATGGAGGAGAGGCAGCTACTGAGGGCCAGTTCCCCGCCCCGCTGCCCCTCGCCTTCTCGGGGGAGCCAGTCGGGGCTTCCCCCCTCCCCGAGCGGGCCCACCCGGAGCTAGCAAAGCTTTACCTCAGCGCGGCGACGTGGGGCTCCGGCCTTCCCCCCAGCTCCTCGGACTGCGGCGGCCCATGGAAGAGAAGGAGAGCCGGGGGGGTGAGGGCCGGGCGGCGCGGCACGGCGCGGCCCGGCCCGCCCGGCGCCCACCTGCCGCAGCGAGAGGAGGTCGTTCCGCCGCCCGCGGAAGTCGAGGCCCAGCAGCTCATCGCGTAGCGCCTCCGCGAAGGCTGGGCTCGCCAAAAAGCCGGGGATGACGCCGTGCCGGAACGGGGCCGGATCCACCACCGCCGCCGCCGCCTCTGCAAGGCAACCGCCGCCGGTAAGGGGAGGAGGGGGGACCCGCCGCCGCGCAGCCCGGGCCGGGGGAGAGGGGCCCCGTACCGCGGCGGAGCGGCTCCCCGCGGCCCCAGCTCGCCGCCGCCCGCTCCCTCAGCGCCGCGTCCCTGAGGGCAGCACACAGCTCAGCGCGGGCCTCCCGCTTCCCGCGCTTCTGCCCCGCCGCCGCTACCGCCCCGCGCCGCTTGGCCGCCATGCTGCCACCCCCCCCGCCACACTACAGCTCCCAGCGGCCTCCGCGCCAACCGGGGCGCGGAGGAGGCGGGGCCTCGCCCCACCGGGCCAATGAGGGAGGAGTGCGGCCGCGAAGAGCCAGCGACGCGGCGGGAGCAGAGCGGCTCCGCTCTATGGTGGCGCCGGAAGTGAGGCGGGCGGTTCCGGTGCGCGGCCTGGCGGGCAGGTTAATGGCGGACGCCGTTCCCGCCGCTGAGCACTGAGCGCCTTCCTCGCCGCCGCCATGTCCGTAGTGCCGCCCAACCGCTCGCAGACCGGCTGGCCCCGCGGGGTGAACCAGTTCGGCAACAAGTACATTCAGCAGACGAAGCCGCTCACGTTGGAGAGGACCATCAACCTGTGAGCGCCGCCTCGGGCCTGCCCGGGCCCTCTCCCCGTCCCGTCCCGCTCCCGCGCCCTTCCCCGCTCCGCCGACTCCCCCGCGGGAGGTTTCCCCTCAGCGCTCCGCCGGCCGCGGGGCTGAGGGCGAAGCGGCGGCAGAGCCCCGGTTGCCGGGGCGGGGTGCGTGCCGTTAAGCTGTGGAACGCGGTGGTGCGGGATGCTGTGGGTGCAGAAAGCTTGCCGGCGACCGGGGCAACCTGGAGCATTTAGTGTAGATATATTTTAGCGTGTAGAAGCAGCATCCTGGCTCGGGAAGCGTGAACATCAAGTGACACGGTTAGGGAGTGTTTAGACACGGTGAACATCATCTGCACTTCTTTTATATCTGCCTTTGGCGGCAGAGAGAGAAACAGGCTGCTGGCCTGGGCGGGGTGTGGGCTCATCCTGTGTGGGCAGTAGGATGCGGTTAGATACGCCTGGTGTTTTCTCATTCTCTGGTGCATGTATTTTAATTTGAACTCAAAGCGCTTGCTACCAGACAAAAACCTTACTTCTGTCATAGATACAAACTGTTTGCTAATAAATATTAACTTATTTCGTACGAGAAGCCATATACTTCATCTTCTTCCAGTAAACTCTGGTGGATGTGTTCTTTGCAAAGTAAGTCTGTCAAGTTGCAGGAACAGCACGTTAACTGTAACAGACAATATTCCATTTTAGCTGTTAATTGCAGACTCTGAGGTATTTTTTTGGGTATAGCTGAGTTTATTCACAGTTAGAAAGGGTCTGGTGGAAGTTCAAATATGAACTTAAGCGACTGGAATATTTTTGTAGTGTTACTAAAAAAAAAGACTCAGGAAGCTGTTCTACAGTATAGAATTTTTTAAAAACTATAGGTTTAAGGGTTTGGATGTACAGACAAATGTACCCACGTTACTACAGTATGGATTAGAATAGTAATAAAGCTATTTGTGTATCTAAAAATGGAACTGAATGGAAAAAGAAATGAAGATGGTTCGAAGCTATAAGTGAAAGTGGGGGGAGCTTGCTAAGAAACCCATCCGCAGTTAGGAAATGGGTTGTTTTGGCTCGCCTGTGCACATGAGAAAGGATTCTAACAGCTGCTACTGGCTTGTGATTTTGCCACTGTAAAACAAGAAGATTTGGGGGTATGGGGGAAGAGGAGGAAAAATTTCAAAGGCGGGACGAGTGTATGCTACTTATTTGACATGTTTAAATATTGGGGAAAGAATACATGACAAGATGCATCTCAAGGAAAACATTCCCATGAAGTCAGTCATTCTGTTAATTCAGTTGCTGTATGCCACAAGTCAATAAAACCATGGTGATAACTCATTACTGCTCTGCCCAGAATCCCTTGTCCTCTCCCTTTTTGACTTAGCCAGATGATTCTGTCTTCCTTACAGGCTTCATGCTATCAGATCTCTGTGTTACTTGGATTTTGTTGTACGATAACTTTCCCCTGTTGCCCTCTGTGCTCTCTAGGACTGACTGATCTTCTGCCTAACCTTTCTTTTATTTTCTGACTCTCTTCAGTCCCTCTTACCTGGAGAGAACTCTTTGGATTCCACTGTACTCTCATGAGAGGATGCAGAGGTCCAGCACCTAGCCTGGCAGAGTGATCTGCTCAAACTCTTCATCTTACCCCAGGCTCCTGGCCCTGCATTTAGACACTCAGCAGTCCTCATCTTCTGTGATCCAGATGTCTGATTTCCCACTTCAAAACAAAACCACTTCTAACACTTTAGTTCTGAGGCTCTTCATTACTTCTGCAGAAAAAAACCCCACTGTCCTGTGCGGCTTCCTTCCCTCCTAGCAGAGCTTGTCTCTCCTGTCACTTTCCCAGCTCCTCTCAGAGCCTTGGCTGCTTTTTCTCCACGATGCAGAGATCAAAGAGGGCGGCTGTTGAGTAACAGTTGCTGCTGGTTCTTCAGAACCTCTTTCCCCCTCTTGAGTCAGCGCCACACCAGTGTGTGGGTCAGCAGGACTTTGTGCTTGTGTGTATCATGGTGCAGATCTTCCTGTGATAGGGCCCCCCAAATCACAAACAAGAACTTCTAGCCCAGTGCTATGAGGGAGTTGCCGTTCTGTCAAGCACAGAAGGTTCTGTCTCAGGGTAGATGCTGTGTCACAGTGATTTAAATTTAGATTTCTTGTTATGCAGTAACGTGTTTTTTCCCCTCTTATAGGTATCCTCTGACAAATTATACATTTGGTACGAAGGAACCCCTGTATGAGAAGGACAGTTCTGTGGCAGCTCGGTTTCAGCGCATGAGGGAAGAGTTTGACAAGATTGGCATGAGGCGGACAGTGGAAGGGGTTCTGATTGTGCATGAGCACAGGCTGCCCCACGTGCTGTTACTGCAGCTGGGTACAACTTTTTTCAAGCTGTAAGTGTCTGTTTCCTGAATATAACTTTCGGTTTAACTTTACTGACACAGACCACTAAACATGGGGGCTAGAGGTTAAAGCGTGGCTGGCTAACTGATAAACATTTTGAATGTGATTCATTTCTTGCAGAGACTTAGTTTGGGAAAACTTTTTTGAATGGTGGGGTTCTTACTTAAAGTGGATTTGTCCGCTCATGAGTGCGGTCTTAGTGTGGAACCAACTGGAAATCTTAGTTACGGTGTATTACTATGGTAAAATCCTGTTTAAAACTCATTATCAGTAGTTAGTGTGTTGTTCTTACATTGTGAAAGCTGTTACGCTTAAATATGCTTATGTGATGGCTGCAAAATGGTAAAGTGGAGCCCAAGGAATAAACCCCAGTAAATGCAGAATGATGTCTGTTTACAAACTGCTGGGTGAGCTGCGGGACAGCAAGAAAGGTAGGTATCTGAATTTGAGAAAATTTCTTCAGTTCATCTCAGTTACCACTGCCGGAGTGAAATTTTAGGGTTTAGATCAGATGGTCATAGTGATGGTGGTTGTTTTCATTTTTAAACTGGATGGGCTTGACTTGTCTCATGTTATCCTGCTTGTGTTCTTTTTCTTATGTTTTTAACATTTACATGGTTTGTCCTCAAGTCTGTGTGTGTGAAATCTAGTTTTATATCCAGATTTTTTTTTTTTGACATCTTGATTTGGGGGATGTTTGTGGACAAAATAGACTAGACTTGAAAAGTTTTGCAAAACTCTGTAATGATGAAAATATGTTTTTAAGTTTTTTCATTAACCTTGCATCAAATGCAGGATGGTTCCCTTCATGAGTTTTATTTTCTGCTTCCTGTGTGCTTCAGTGAATGCTGTTTTTTGAGATAAGAACAAATACGGTTGGTATTTACAACTTTCTTCAACTTCTGGTACTTTCATATTACAGTTAAAAGTCTACCTTTTAAGTGTCCCAGTCATTGTGTATATGTTTATACTCTGTTCAAGTATTTTATATAATGGCTATTTTTTTAAGGGACACAGAGTAGCCATTTTAGTCATGGTTTTGGTGGAAGCTATCCTTCTGCTGTCTTCAAATTCAATGAAGTTAGATTTAGAACTTTTGACTTGAGGGCCTTGAGCGATTTTGTAACTCCCTGCCTGGAAGCACATCCGAATTTACATGTGAAAGTTGGTAAATGAAATAGAACATAACTTCAGCTTTCATCATTGGTTATTTTAACAGACCTGGTGGTGAACTTAATCCAGGAGAAGATGAGGTAGAAGGGCTCAAACGCTTAATGACAGAGGTCTGTTTTCTTCCATTATGTTGCTATACTGGAATGTTGGATTATTTTAGAGTAAACAGAATAAACCAAAGCATTAGAGTAGTCTTATTACAGCTTCAGCTACTCTGATGCTTTTGTGATGTTCTCAGGCAGTTAACAGATTAAGCAGTAAGTTTTCATTTATCTGCATCATGAGGTTGACAGAGCGGTCTAGTGGCTGACCTCCTAATTGCTGCTCAAGTCCTGTGTTCATTTGTAGTTTTGCTTTTTGGCTGGCTTCAGGCAAGTCAATGTGCAGATGAGCAATAAAATATGTTGTGGAGCACAACTGATGAGGACTTGCCTTTGAGATAGTTTTCCCAATGCACTAGTTAACCTTCCATGCTCTCCAAGTAACCCAAATGAATGCTGTCACATAGCATAGCAATGCATTTCATTCTTCCTTTTGGTCTGACAAGACTCAGTTCAATCGCATAGAATTTGAAATGCTCTCTAAAGTGTCCTTGCCCTGTCAGGTGAGGCTTTTACTAAGAAAATGTCACTTTATACACAAGTGCTTTAAAACTCTATTAAAAGCTGTTCAGAGCAGTTCTGAACTACATCAGACCCTTATTACAGCAAGTCTTCATGCTTCCAGTATATGTTTTCTAAAAAAATTGGCTTGGGTTAGTTAGAGTTTTGACTATAACTGGATTTTTGGTAGATACTGGGTCGTCAGGATGGTGTTCAGCAAGACTGGGTGATTGATGACTGCATTGGTAACTGGTGGAGACCGAACTTTGAGCCTCCACAGGTGAGTAATGTTGACTTTTCCCTTCTTCTGTCATGTATTAATTGTTCTTCCGACAGTCTTCAATCTTAACAGTTTGGCTTGATGAGTACCTGCTGCATGAGCAATTAGTTTTTCTGGATTTTACCTATTTCATCTCCTTTCTGTGGCTGAGGAGAAAGGACACTGGTCTCCTTCCTCACACCTGTCATGATGGATGAGAAACCACTGGAGGTAATAACTTCCAGCCCTGCGCTGAGCCAGACACCATTTCAATTCCTGTTGTAGCCACAATGGAAACTCTTGCACTGCTGTGTATGGAACCGATGTCCTGTGAATCAAATAGTCTTGCTACCCTATTTGTAAATGCTTTAATACTTGCTCAGTTTGCTGTTATGCATTTCTGTTTTATTGGGTTGTTTTAACTGCTCATGAGTATTGGTGCCTTTTTAGATCCTGTCAGTAGTTGTGACAGCAACAGCATTCCTTTCTGAGTACTTTCTTACAAAAGTGGTTTTCATTATTTGCTGCCATGAAAGAACTATATCACACGTTGAAAGCTTGCACAGTGCTTGATAATTTATAAAGTAGCACTTGAGATTACTCAGCATTCTGAAAGCTTTGTACAACCCATTTTTATTGTTTTTCTTCCAGTATCCCTATATCCCAGCTCATATTACGAAACCAAAAGAGCACAAAAAGCTTTTCTTGGTCCAGCTTCAAGAAAAGGGTAAGTGTTTGTTTGCAACAAAGGATGGTATTTATAACAGTGTCTAAATGCTTGCATTTCACGCAAGGAAATGTAGTAGCAAGTTGGTGTTCATATGCTTGCAGTTGTTTATAGTTGATCGCTAAAAAAGTTAAATCAGTTTTGAATGTAGGTGATCCTTTGAACACAAGTTCCTGGTAAATGCTCATTCCTGCTCCTGCATCAGTATATGTGCAGCATATGAACCCCATATTTAACTAGAAAAGGAATAAGCCTGCTGGATTGCTATTATGTAGCGATCTTGTTTTGGGGTGTGTGTGGGGATGGTGGTACTTTGGCTGAGTGTGTGGTGGTTTTTCTTACTAATCAACTTGTATTTGTTGTTAGCTTTGTTTGCAGTCCCCAAAAATTACAAGCTGGTCGCTGCACCGTTGTTTGAGCTCTATGACAATGCACCAGGATATGGACCCATTATTTCCAGCCTTCCTCAACTTTTGAGCAGGTATATTATGATTAATTTGTATTATAGTTCTTGGGAATATGTTTGCTATAGGACACCAGAGCAAGGCTTAGGCACTACAGAAACCGACTTGAAAAGGTTGCAGCTGTCCCAGAGCTCTTAGAATCTACCTTAGACAAGATGTGTCGGACAATTTAGAAGCACTGGTCGCAACTTGCTAGCACCAAAGTCCTATCTAGCAGCTGTAGCAAAGGAAAAAAGTGACAGATGGTGAGGATGAAGCTGTGTGCAGGCTAAGGAACAGCTTCTCATATGCTCTGGGGACAACGGCAGAGTGAAAGCCGGATGCGTGTTTGAAGCACTGAGTTGGGTGTGCATGTTATCACAGCCTTGTGCTGATTAAGTGGGGTGGGGTTTTTTTAGACTCTGTGTTAGTAGAGTTCATAACGTGTAGCGTGTTTATAACACAAGTTTCTGTAGGGACAGCTGTATTTTTTCCTTCCTTCCTTTTCCCAACGTACACACTCTTTGGCTTTTTTACCTGAAAATGGCTTGTAGCTCAGGTCGCCAGCGCTCGCTGGTCTCACCGGTTTCTGTTACTTCAGCAGACGCCCAGGAATGCCAGGCATCCCGCAGCCTGGCAGCCGTTACTCGGGGAAGTAGTTCTGTCATCCACCTACTTTGATGAAAAAAGTCTGTTAGCAGAATGTCAGCACTGGTATTTCCCATAACAGGCTTGCATCGTGCTGGGTTTTTTTGCTCTATCTAGTCCCAATTTTGGCAGTTGTAGCTATGGGGACTTCCCCCTCCCGCTGCTCTAAAGGCAGCAGATACTTTCCCCTGCGTAGCTGCAAAACCCTGGCTATTATTCAGCCAGATGCCAGTTTGGTGCCAGTGCAACAGACACATCCAAAGGATGGACCATCTGGAAGCTGAGATGGATGCTCGCTTTCACTGTGTGAATGCTGTTTGTTGTGGAACTTAGTTGAGAAGAATTAGCTCTTCCCTTGAGTATGTCCATATGTTACCCCTGGAGTACGTAAGGTTGGCCCTCGCAGCAGAAATGCTGCAGAAGAGTTGCTGACAGGGGAACGTAACTCTCACTGGTGTTTTCATATCTATGTAGCTCTCTTAAGAGATTAAATGTTAATAAATAATTAGTTCTTCTGCAGCCTTAGGAGACTGTTGTGCAATGCTAGTGTAGAATTGGCTGTTACAAATGGTGCTTCCTGCTATACTGTAAAGCTGTCTTATTAAAAAATGCACTTTTGTTCTGTCAGATGGAGGCTTATCGAGGGCAGAAACAAAACATTTGCTTGTTCATTCAAAAATGTCACTTAAATAAAAAGAATTAAAATTCCTCACTTGGTATAATCCTTCTAATTTTAGGTTCAACTTTATTTACAACTGAATTTCTGTCTACCTGAAGAGTCTGATAGAAGAAGCCGTCTCTGTGAGCACAGCTTTAAGATGTAGAGAAAAGAATACATGTGACGCAAGGATTTTTTTTTTTTTATGTCATTCTTTTCCTGAAGGGCCACTAAACTTTCTATTGTATGAATAGAGAAGTGAATCTCAGCTGTTTAGGTAGTGGGATGGCAATGTGATATCAGTGTTTTAATCACTTTTCGTTGTAATACTCACCAAATTTTTTTTGTACAACATTAAACAAAATGGTTAAGATTCTGTCTTGGGTGTCTTTTCTGTTGTTTGTGTTTGGATTTTTTTTTTTTGCTTTAGTTGTCCCCTCCTTTTTAGGTACGGATTTTAAACTTTATTACTTCTGTTGAGGAACACACAAGATCTTGGAAACAAGAGGAGGACCTAAACCGTTTAGGGACCATTTGGATGCTCTGATCTGCATCCCTGAACAGGGAGTTAGTCTGAGGGAGAAATTACACAGTATAAGTAGGTGCAATAAAATTTTGAGCCTTAGCTTAGAGAACAGAATTGCTGTTTCAAGGGAGTAGGGGGTGCTTAAAGGCAATTGTAGCCTTTGTTCAAAGCTTACTAGAACTGACCTGGAAGTGTTACTGTTTGTACAGGGCTTGGAGGAGATGTAACAGGTGTCTTTTCCCTTTGTGCCCCCTTAAGAAAATAACAACCCAATGAATTTTGTTGGACTGGCCTGAGATCCAGTTAAAATATGGAAAGTGAGATTAATTTGGTATATTTTTCTATAGCTACAGGACAATTTGGGTCACGTTGAAATGTTTTGCTAATGCCATATGCAAGTTGTTTCCATTTTACGCCGAGCTGCTGTAGTAGACCACTGTGCTGTGTCATCCTGCAAGGGACACCTGTACTCCTGCTTCCTCACCTCAACATTTCAGTCTCCTGCAGGTAATAAATATCAACCTACACCGGGTTGGTTTTTCTGTGTGTTTTTTTTTAGTTGCTTGTTTGGTTGGTTGGGTGTTTTTTTTTTTTTTTTTTTACACACTTGGCTAAACATCAATTCCAGTTGGATGTGTCCCTTCCTAGAGCTTTTAGCCTTCCACAGTTTTGCTTAACTCTTTAAAAGACTTGTTTCTAAATTCTGCCACTGACCAGAAGATGCTGTCTTCTTTGACTAAGGCGTTTTTGGAGGATGCCTGCTGCCAAGAAAGCTGAGATGTGCCACAGTGCTTGGTTCTGCTGCCAGCGGTACCGGTAAGCTACGTGCAGAACAATGGGGACAGCTTGGTGCTTCAGTCAAGTATGAAGCTGGGCAGTATGGGCTCGATTCTGAAAAATTACTGGAAAACGTTGCGGTGGGGTGGTTCACTTTGGTATTATGGATGGAAGGCCTCGGCATAGGGTTAGCAAAACGTATGGTTTCTTAAACAGCTGCCAGATGGGGAAAATAAAGCTACCAGGGGAGTGCAAAACAGAACAATTTTTGCATGGGGTAGGGAGGAAGGGGAAGCGCTTGTGGGGAAGCCGGATGCTACAAGAACAGGGAGCAGAGCCCTACGTGTGAGGCCTGGCATTTACCAGCACCCCTTCTCTTCCATCCCTGCGTGCCGGTTCGAGCCGCTTTTTGTTCCGCGCTACCCCGGGAGAGCGCTGGAGCGCAGCCCGGACTCTCCGCTCGCTCCTCCGCCTACGTGCCCGTAGCGATCGGGGCTGCCGAGGGAGAACCCCCTTTTCTCCCGTCCCGCCTCACACAATCCGCCCCCGTTTCTGCCCGGTGCGGCCGGGGCCGTGACTCAGCGCGCTGGGGAGCGTTCCGGTGCGGGGCGGGGGGTTCAGGATCTTCCCTCCCCCGGCCCCGGGGCGGGGCGGCGGCGGCGGGGCGGGCGCTAGGCCGCAGGAGCGCGGCGAGGGGGGAGCGCGGCGGGCCGGGGCCGGGGCCGGGGCCGGGGCGGCGGCGAGGGCTCCGCCATGCCGCTGCTGTTCCTGGAGCGCTTCCCTTGGCCCAGCCTCCGCACCTACACGGCGCTCAGCGCCCTGGCCCTGCTGGGCACCGGCCTCAGCGCCTACCGGGCCCTCAGCCAGGGCCCCGGCGGCGGGGCGGCGGGCACCGAGCCGGCCGGGCCGCGGGCCCTGGACGTCGCGTACTACCTGCTCTCCGACAGCCTCTGCGTCTGGGTGAGCCCTGCGGCCTCGGCCGGTCCCGGGGTGGGGTGGGGGGTCGGCTCGTTGTTGTTGTTTAGAAACGGCTCCCGGAATAAAGAGGGGGGGTCGTGGGGGGCAGGCCGCTTTCCTGCCTTCCCCGGAGGGGGGTGTTGGGCTGCGTTAAAGCCGAGCGCCCCGAAAGTTCAGCTCGGGGCTGTGTGCTCGACCCCCTCTCACCGTGGCGGGTTGGGGGGGGGGGGGGACACACGACACGACTTTGTTGCGGTGCTTCGAGAAGTGCTGCGTGCCCTGCTGAGCTGGAAATCATCGTGAGAGCCCGTCAGGTGTTCAAACCCAAGCTTTACGCGTTTTTTGTTTTGTTTTGTTTTGTTTTTTTTTAAAAAAATAGCACTTGAAGTTCTACAGGTAGGAGGAAGCATTCTTACCATTTAAGAGAAATTTTGTAGGTCTTTGAACCCAAACTCAGCGGCGGTATGTGAATTTTGGCTCAGTAATTTCTGTAGCTGAAGTAAGGGCTCAACAAGGGGATATCAGGAACCTAGCTGAGCTGTCCCTGTTGAACTTTTCATATGGCTGTTAGTCAAAGGGGGTATTAGTTGGACGCCTGCTTTACAACATGCCTGCTTGACTGGGGGGCTGATTTTTGAACATATCAGACACATTCAGCCAGTTGAAACTTGGTCTCAGGACCTTAAATTAAGAGCCCTCAAAGTTTATCTTATGTCCTTTGGAAACGACAGGGTGAGGCTGCTTCATCATCCCCTCCCACCTCCTTTTAGTGTTCTGCATAGGTCAAAAGTTAATTACAAGTGTCTCTGTCAAATGTGAGAAGCAGTTTTCCCAGGGCTGTGTATTCTGTTCCTTGCTGCTTTGCTTTTGAGCAGTTTCGTGAGAAGTTTTTAAGCAGTGTTGTTACAGAAGGGGAGTGTGTGCTGCTCCGTATGTTTTGAGATGTCTGAATCTTGCTCTTGTAACAACAGATGCAAGCTGGAGTTCTCTCATCTGTCTTTTGTTAAACAAAAGTAGCATTTGGGTGATCTGTAAATTTTGTGCCCATGTTTCTCCGTGCTAGATTTGCTAATTGTATAAAACAATTTATTGTGAAGAGGTGGGTTAGTTTGTTGGATGTACTGGTGTATCAAACTGACCATGTTAGTCTTTCTAGAAAAAAAAGTCAAGTGACTTATCAGCTACTGTATGTGTCTTGGAAGAGGCCAGGCTTAAATTTCACTAAAAAAAAAATAACAGGCAACTGATACTGTTCTGTGAACAATGGTAGGTTTTGTTAGACTTGTTCATTCCCCTTTCTTTCTCTCCTCCCCCACCCCCCCCCCCCCCCCTTCTAAATAGGGCAAAAGTATTTGTCGCTGACTGCTTTGTTTCTTTCCAGGTATTAGTGAACACTGCCTGCTGTTTTCTGATGCTGGTTGCTAAGCTAATTCAGTGTATGGTGTTTGGTCCTCTTCGTGTCAGTGAGAGGCAGGTAAGATAGCAGTGCGCTGCCTTGGATGTTGTCATGTTTCATAATTTCTTGGTGTATGACTGATGTGGTTTTCTACATGGAATTGCTGGAGGTACACAAGAAAAGTATATGTTAGAACAACACAAACTTAAATCTTACCATTTGGTTAGCTAGTATATCCACAGCCACAATTATAAGCCCACGGTCAACTTGAAAATCCTACTTCCTTAATGAACTTTGTCACATTTCTTACAAGTGCACCTCATTTCAGAATACTTATAACGTGCTCTTCTCTATTCAGTTTGTGCTTGACAGCATTTCCCCATTGCGTTTCGTAGTTAGTTATCAGCACTGGCAGTCTGAGTTCCTCTTGTATCTTGTTTTCTGCCTTGACTGCTGGAGGAGTGCTTTCCAGCGTCATACGCTGAGTGGTTGGTTTATCTACCCTCACGTTTAAGAGGGGATAGGCAGGCATGTGCCCAGAGAAAGGAGGTAAGCAAGACTGAAAGCTCAGGCTGTTTAGTCCTGCTCTCAGGCTAGATGAGAATGTTTTTAAAAATTCAGCAAGGGAACCATTAAATCCCAGGCTTTTTAAAAACAGGATCCTGCAGAAGATAAAAGCAGCAGCAGTAGTTTGAATAGTATCTGTATATTTTTTTTAAAAAGGCAAATGTATAAATAACTCTGTGTAAATGCAGTAGCAGTGGTTTGAAGTGTGTTCACATATTTAAAAAAATAAACCAATGTGTAAATGCAGTTCTTCAGGAGAAGTCAGACTGTGATGATTTTTGACATGCAGAACTGAGGCACACAAAGCTTTGTTAATAACCATGGATCTTTCAAAGCCCATTATGTTTGTGATTCACACCCTGTAGAGCCTCCAAGTGAAGTTCATTAAAAACAAGCCACTATGAAACTGCATTGGGCCAGATTTTCTTTCCAGTCCGTGTTGACCATAAGTACGTGGAATTTTAACCAGTGATAATTTCCAGGATGTTCTCTACCTTCTTAAAAACTAAAGTAAAAAGCAGTAACAGTGTGGATCCGCTTGCTTTTGGACAGTGGGAGTATACTTCAGTCCTCATGTAAAGGAAAGCTGTTTATTAGTATTGGTGAGCCAAAAATGGCAGCATCATGAAGGAATTCTGGGCCTGTCTTAACTAAACTCCTGGTGATTTCATCGTGTTCTTTAACAAAACATTTTATTTAATAATTTTTTTTATCCCCAACAAGCTGGCTTGCTATCTGCTGCTTGAGACCATATCGTTTCTTTCATATTGCATGTGCGTGGGAATAATTTTTTTTTTCATTGCTCATCCATCTCATTCTCCACTGTAGGCATTGTGCTTTTTAAGAACAGACTTTCTCATCTTTTCTTAATTATCTGTACTTTTTGACAGGTTTTTGGAAGCAAGGTGCTAGGCTATTTGGGCATCTTGTATAACTAACCGTGGCAGTTCTAGGAAAGAGGACTTAGTGTTTGCAGCCCAGTAGCTGCGTTGCTTGGGCGTGGAGAATCAAAGTGAGCTCAAACTTGGTTTGTGCTAAGCAGTATTTTAGAAGTATGGCAGGAAACTACATTGTGTGCTGCATTGCGCAGTTACGCTGTGGTGGTGCAAACGACTAGATAGATACTAAGGACCACTAATATTTTTAATACATTTTTAATTGAGTAAGGGTAACAAATACTATTCAAGATGTATATGCAGCAGGTTTTTGCTAATGTATTGTCGCATTTCTTCTTCCATCTTTTCTCTTCTTTTTCTTTTTCCCTCTTTCTCTCCCCTGGATGTGGATTGTCGGTGCTTTCACTACAGTAACCATATGTCTTATGTTATAGCATCTCAAGGATAAGTTCTGGAATTTCATCTTCTATAAGTTCATCTTCATTTTTGGTGTGCTGAATGTTCAGACAGTGGAAGAAGTGGTGATGTGGTGCCTCTGGTTCTCTGGACTTGTGTTTCTTCATCTTATGGTTCAGCTCTGCAAGGATCGCTTTGAATATGTAAGTTTTGATTAAGGGCTGTCTTTTGGGACATGCGAATTCTGTTTCTGGTTTGGGCACTGGCTCAGTAAGTTACAAACAGATCATTTAGACCCTCTGGTGCTGAACACGTGCACCTCCCAGTAGCTTCAAATACTTGCTTTAAAGTGCATTGTCAATCTTACTCCTTCAGTTTTCCCATGAAACGAATGGAGCTGAAGATACTTATTTTCTTTGATAAATTGCTCCTTATATGTGCCCTGTAATTACTATTACATAACTCCATGAGATGTCTTCATAGCTCTCCCTCGTGAAGAAATCTTGGCAACAGAACAACTCTTAGATTGATGCCCTTTAGCATTGGTCCGTGAAGCCTGTTTCTGTAGATTCTGTCCTCAGGTTTCAAGCTCATTTACACCTACCAAATGTTGACTGCCAATGTCTTTACAATATACAGTGCAACTTTCTCCATAAGCTACATCCCAGTTCTGGTTAATACCAGTAATAAATTCAGTAGAGATGCAGAAAGTGAAGGACTAGGCAAGGAAGAAAGCACTGGAATTTATACAGTAAATCTTGCCCTTTAAACATCTATAATGGACATGCATGTTCCTTAGCTCCTCTGTCCTGGAATAAAAGTTTGAACAGAAGTGAATCCATGAATTTCCTTTTGGTAACTCCATGCTTTGCAATTTTTTATTTTTTTTTTTTCTAATTAATATCCAGTAAGGCCTGCTAACTCACAAGTAGCTAAGCACCAGGCTTGAAACTGGATTGGTTGGGGTTAGGAAAATTGAGGCAGAAGTGAACAACGCAGTTATCTGGTATTTTTAGTGTTGTTCAGAAAGCTGTGAAAGAACAAAGCTCATGTGGGAAGAAATCCTTATATTCCTTCTGCATTCAAAGCATGTATCGTAATTCAGTACTGGGACAAATTGTACTTGTGTAATCTGCCTTGCAGACTCTCGGGGATGTGGAATTGAACCAGATATAAACAAGGAAGAAAAAAACAATTAAAAAACAAAACATGGGAGTTAACTTCATTAGAGCAGAGTGAAGCTTTGGGCAATCGCTTCTTTCCTTGTCCTGTTCTTCCCCTTCCTGCCCTGAAAGTAAGGGGCTGGACCACCTAAATGCTTTGCCTCTTGGGTCATCTTTGGTTTAGCCTAGGTGTAGCCTACCATTAAGGTGGTTGAGAGAATTAATATGCTATGCATGCTGTTGAATGAGACAGCTCTTTTCAGAAGACTCTGTCTAGTAGTCTCTAACTGCAAGTTAAATTTTTGGGGGAGATATCTCTTTCTTCCAGAAGAAAATGACATTGGAAGAACTAGAGGCTGAAAGATAAAAGCTGGACAAATTCAGATCAGCTGTAAGGTGAAAAATTGTCAGAACAATTACTCTCATTGCTCAAAGACTATATATTAAGGTTAGATGTCTTTCTAAAACGCATGTTTGTCCTAGGAAGATGCTATGGATTTGATGCAGAAGCTACCATGTGAGAAAGTGTCCATGGTTTTCTTGCACACGTTAGATCAAATAAATGTAATGATGATCCCTTCTGGCTCTAAAAGCCTGGTGAATGTAAGTGACAGCAAGACGCATGAAACTTTGGGATGGTGTGTGATTTTAGCTTTATTCTCCATCATTTGTTACTACCTTGCGTGGTTGAGGTCATGACATTGGTTTTATTCTAGAAAGCAAAAGGTTTTCCTGAACAAGGAGTTGTTTGGTGAGGTGACTGCGGAAGGCAGGGTGAATGAAGTACTCCTTTAAACATGCTATGTATTGATGTATTTGTGTTGCAGCTTTCCTTTTCTCCTACCACACCCATGAGCAGCCACATCAGAGTGCTCACCCTGCTCGTAGCCATGCTCCTCTCCTGCTGTGGATTAGCAGTTGTCTGCGGTATTATCGGCTACACCCATGGCATGCACACCTTGGCTTTCATGGCAGCGGAGGTGAGACTTCCTTCATACATGTTGTGGTTCCTGCTTTGCTTTTCAGCCCTCACTTGGGGGGTATCTTGGCATGTGGTGGGTGTTTTTTAGTTTCCCCGCGTGGAAGAAACTCCGAAGATGCAAAGAAGCCCTCCCCTGTTTTAGAGTAGATGGGAGATCTGCATTCTTTTTCTCCTCAGAGCTTAAGCCTGCAAAAAAAATCTTTGTCTGAAGAAGAGAATGAGAGGGTAAATCCATAAGGTGATGCTGAAATCAGATGGTAGCCTGTGAAAAAATAATGGTTGTGCTTCATGAGCATTGCAAGAAGGGTTAGTGGAAATGGCTGCTAGAGAGAGGGAGAGAGTGTATGTGAAAGTTCAATGTGCACCTCAGTCTGTTTCTTTGAGGTTGCATTTTCTATTTCATTTCTCCCCAAAAGGAATGAGACTAACATCCTTTCCTTAAGGCATACTCAGGGAATTTGCTTATGTTTGTGTAATGAGTTGTGTGTTTGTGTTCTCCTGAACCCTTTGCAGGGTGGAGTAAACATCAATATGTTTGCGGAGTGAACATCAGTATGTTTTTGATGTTAAGGTGGGTGGTTGTGCTCTGCCTGAGGAGGTGATAATCTTAAACAAAGGGGAGGTAATGAGCGTAATTACAACTAAGTTGTGTTAACACTTCCTTAGTTCAGATAATAAGTAGTATATACAGTTTATTTTTCTTCTCCTGTCTTGATTTCATACTTGGACTTAGTGAGGAGGAAAGAAAAGAGTCAACTGATAGTAGGAGAATATGATGCTGGTCACACCACAGTTCAGTTATTTAACATGTCAATTTACTTTTCCCTAAATATGAGACTATACAAGGCCAGATTTGTAATTACACAGCGGAAGAGTATTGAAGATTTGTCAGTGTCTCTAATAGGTGGGGTCTGGTTGGTCTTGTGTCTCTTATCTTGGCTCAGCAGAAGGACATATCAGCCTTCTACCAGCATGGGGTGGGTTTATCAGGGAGAGTTACAGTGCGGAAGCGTTGCCTCGTTAGCGCTGCGGTTTGAGTTGCAGGATGGGGCCCAGCTATTCATTTCAGTGGGAGCTGTTCTGTCTGCTTATTAACAAAGGAGTGGCTCACTCAGCACACGTGCGTGGTCCTCAGCCAAGCCGTGGGTCCGGCAGCCCGCTGGGCGGCTGCTGTGCGGCACAGGAGGTCTCTGGGGAGCGTATGGGAAAGGGCCTCCTACCTTTCCTTGCAGCCGCTGGTGCTCGACGTTCCTGAGCTGAGGGTTGCACAAGCCTGTTGGGTTTGATAGCCTCAGGTGGACTCTGGAAAGTTGTCTGATCATTTATTGAACTCGTTTATACTTTGGCCTCCACAATATCCAAAGGCAACAAATTCCACATTTAACTCCGGTTTGTGTACACAAAAAATCTCTTTCAGTTGTTCTGAATCTTCTGTCTGATAATGTCCTTGGCTATCATCTAGTACATGTGGTGAAAAACTGCAAAGAATCATTCCCTGTTCACTCTTTATACCATTTGTGATTTTCTAGACCTTTCTCTTGTTCCACTTCTGACTTTCTTTCCAAGCAAAAGAATTCTAGTCCATTTAATCTTTCCTCACATTAAATTGTCTAATAGCTTGCCCTTTCATGAGTATTTTAAATATGCACTGTATGGATTAGGTGACCATGAGTAGCTTCCTTGATTTTAATACTCAGCACTCATGTAAGTGGAATAAAACATTTAGGTTTCTTTCTGTGAAGGTACAAGCAGTGACACCTCGTGGCAGTCCTCAGGTTCTCAGCAAAAAGCATTAAATCTTGCAGACTAAAATGTTTTCCTGGTGATGGCTCATGTGATGCTGTTCAAGAGGGACACTGCCAAGTGTATTCCATTAGTGTGTATTTAATTACATTGAGTTACATTAAGCTATTCATCTCTCTCCTGACTCTGCAAACATTGATTTAGCTTGATGCCTCAGGGTTTTCAATAAAGCAATATAGATGTTTTTCTCTGGTTTTAGTTTGGCTTCTGCTTGTTCTGTGTTGTTTGTCAGCATTTTCTTTCCTGCAAAGGGTGGATGTGAAATGTGCAAATGCCCAGAGAGGGTTGAATAAGCACAGTCTGTATTTTTGAGTAAACATTCAGCTTTTTTTGCCTTAACAGATGATATTCGAGAATTATGGTATAGCAAGTGATGTCCAGTCTGTCTGTGTTTGCACCTTTTTTATTGTAAGAAAGAATTACTCCATTCCTATAGCAGTTGTCCTCTGATCCTGTTTCATACATCTCAGTTAAAGCCATGTAGTGGTAGTGATATTCAAATCTTAGAATTGTACCTTACAGATATAGTATATTTTCCTGTATAGTTTCTCATGCTGCATCCGTTATCTTAGGGTTTGAGTGCCTTCCAGTCGTGTGCTAACCTACATGACTAGTATCTGCCTGTACCGTGGAGCCCGTGGGGGATAAGCAGTTGGTTTTGAGCGGAGCAAGAGGTCTCTAGGTATCTGTGCTGAAAATGGCCTCCCGTACATTAGCACCTCAAAGTACAGAGTTGTGTAACTCGCGATGCAATGTTGCACTTTCTGCAACATACCTCTCGCGTCAGAATGTGTCAGAACGCTGAAGTGCATTTCTGGAAACAGTTGAGGAACAAGAGACCAGTGCCTTGAGCAAATCTGCACTAGCTCGTCCTTTTAATTTTGATGCTCTTGCTGCCTCGGCACTAACTAGTATAAATCACGTCTTGGCAACGTTAACTTCTTAGAAGTTGCAAAGACTAGACTCCAGATTTCTACCTGACAGATACTTTCCTTACCAGAGACTTTATGCCACGTATACTGGTTTTGACAAAAGTTTGTGCTCAATGGCATATCCATCCAGCAGCTCAGATGTTCTTTTTGTTCTATCACTTGCATGGTTAGAATTTGGATGTGTTTACTTCTGTAGCCTGCCCAAATTTTCTCCATAGTCAAAAACCTGATGTGGACAAGGTGTGGTCTCTTTCTGGTACCCACAGGAGGCAGAAGAGGGTCTCGTAATGTGCCTTGCAGGAGCAGCTAGTGTGCTAATCTAACATTTTTGTGAAAGGTGTTTGTGATGAGACCAGCACACTGTGCTAGGTGACTTGCTGTTACCTTCTTGGCCTTTGGTGTTACTTGAATGATGTGTGCATCTTATTCTGAAGCCCTTATTTGCATAAATGATTGCACTGGTGTTTAAATAGTCACAGGAACACTTATTTTAAAGCCAAGTAGTAAATAGTTGGCAGGTGTGTTGGATATTACTAAGGGTTAAATATGCATAGAAGCATTTTAAGAATGCTTTTTATGGATGGAAAAAATTATCCAAACTGACTGTTTTGTTGCTATATTGGGAAGTCAGTGGTTTTGATAGTTCTTCTGTACTGTTTTTAATACTTATGCTGAAGGCATGCCATCAGACCGGTTTTACAGAAATGGTTTCAGTTGCTTATTATAAATCCCCTGCATCTTGGTGTCAGCTGGCCCCTGCTAACTGCAGGGTAGTGTAGGCAGTCTCTGAAGGGGATTCATCCTGTCTCATTTTCTTTCACTGGGAGGATACAGGGAAGGGACAGGGCACTCTGGGTCTGACAGGTTGGAGAGAGGTGATGGGGCCACCTTTCTTAGATGATAAGAGCCCCTGGAAGTGTGGTTAGGTATGCTGGAAACAGTTCTTTCCGATGACACTTCTTTACACTTCTAATCTACTTACACTTTCTGATATACTCATTTTTTTCCTCTGTACTTAGACTAGAGAGATAAAAATGATTAAAGAGAGAAGTTACTTCTACAGCGTTCACATCTCAGCAAAGGGGGGAAATTATTTGAAAGTGTTTCCATGGTTCTTCCTCAAATTCCTGCTGCCGTTCGGTTCTTCAGATTTTTCTTGAGCAGTGGGATGAGGAGACATGGTTGGTGGGATTGTGGTCTTGACATTTACTGAGTGATAAAAATTGAAAAAGATAGTATGTCCTCTGTAGTGGGGGAAAAAAGTGAAACTTAACAGCAGTGATGCTAGTGGCTGCTCCAAGAGCACTGTGTGTTTGAAAACAATTTCTTCCATATTTATTTCTAAGCTTCGTGTTTATCACAGGTACATTGTGCACACAATCATCGTGAGTGACCGTTGGTTCACAGGAACTTGTTAAGCTGTAATAAATGCATTTTGTGTTTTAGTGCTTTAGCTCCTGCCTCTGGAGCAATGTACCTGCCAGAATGTTGTTAACATATCTTTTTTTTTGTTTCCTTCTCCCTCACTCCTTACCTCTTCTGCAGTCTCTGCTTGTGACAGTCAGAACTGCTCATGTGATTTTACGGTGAGTAGGTTATGTTTTGCAGGATGGTTGTTGGAGAAGGTAGTGCATATACCATGTTCATTTTAAGAGGTGTATGTAATTACTTTGTCAAATTGTAGATACATGTTTGGAGATGGGCAAAGATGATTAACTTTAACCTTACCTCAGAGACACCTCATGTGCTGAAAAACGTGGGGCTGTAGTTACTATAATCCCAAGACTGGCTTTCGGTACGTGCAGGAGTTTTTAGCAAACACTACATCTTCTCTGTCAGCTGGTGGTATCTGTAATGCCAGCGTGGGCTAAGCATTAATTGCTTTTTGCCTTTTTAAAATGTTGCTGTTAGAAACCAGTAGCATTAAAAAAGAAGTTCCCCATGAAAGCACAGAGTGTGGGCACTGTGCTTAGGAAGGGCAAAGAATCCATATCCAGAAGTTGGTTGAAAATTGAATAAAATAGTTTGAATGCTAGAGATGCTATTTAACAAAAGAGATGGAATAATGTTAATTTCCCTGCTCTTGCAGATATGTAATTCATCTCTGGGATCTCAACCATGAAGGAACGTGGGAGGGCAAAGGCACTTACGTCTACTACACAGATTTTGTCATGGAGTTAACCTTGCTTTCACTGGACTTGATGCATCATATACATATGCTGGTATGAAATACTGAATATAATGTGGAGCAAATAGACTGGCCTTAAAATAAAGGGTACTGGGTATACATATGTTATATATTTTTTTGCTTTGCTTATTTTACGAGCCAAATATTACAGAGAAGTTATGTTAATAAAGAGGAAAATGTAGTGTGGCAGGTTCTGACATTCTTTCCTCCTGTATAATTGGAGTCCTCACAAATAACTTTGTTATGGAGTATTAACTACTGTGTAATTATCTGTTTAATAGGTGTTTAATTAGCTTTGTTATTGAGTAGTATCAGATTGAATTATTTTCATTGGCAGCAGGGACATTAAGCTGAACAGGACTGAATGCAGTTTATCCTTATTATAAATGCTGTGCTGCTTAAGTTGTAATGAGTAGTAAGTAATACCCGTGAACATGTGTGGTTAGTCTGAATGGTCTCAACAAAATAAATCTTTCAGTGCTGTTTTCTCAATTTATTTTTCTCTGAAGACCCGATGCAGTTTCTTGTGGTGGCCTCTTGTTTCCCACGGTGTTTGTTTCTAATCACCATTCTGTTTTTTTTCCAAAGCTGTTTGGCAATATTTGGTTGTCAATGGCGAGCCTGGTGATTTTTATGCAGCTGCGCTACCTGTTTCACGAGGTTCAACGAAGAATTCGGCGGCACAAGAACTACCTGCGTGTGGTTGGAAACATGGAAGCTCGGTGAGCCTCTTAATTGCTCTGGGATCTTGATGTGAATCTTGGAGAGAGGATCCTGATGAAGAAGTTGGGATTCTTTTACGTTCCATTGATACACAGTGGCAGGGTGTAAGCTGGAGAGATGCAGTCTTGCAAATTTGGCTCTTAAGTCTTTACACTTAGAGTATTTTTTAATGTTTTCTTTGTTGCTGGGGACACCCTTTCTGCTTATAACAGTTACGTAGGATTGACTTTTATACTAGCAGTATTACTGGTAATGTATTACTGGCAACAAGTGAACTCCCCTGTTCAGTATTTCTTCTCCTGTATTCTCTTGTATACTACCCTGGTGGGGTGACACAAGCTCTGCAGAGCTGTGTCTTTCAGTCATCAGATACTTGCTTTGGCTGTGATAGAAGTAAATGCCCTTAATTTCATTAGACCATACTATTCAGGTACTGCCTGAAATGAAATCGAAATATTAATCAAAACCTGCACAGCTTTAGGTATGTATCTATTAAACCTGAAGCCAACTCTAAACAGACTCTGCAATTGTAGTGGAGCTCAGAGCACTTTGGGGTTACTTTAGTCCATCCCCCCTGTAGCGAGGCAACGTAGAGAAATTGAGAGGCCTGCTAAAACCTAGTATTGTGCCAGATAGTACTGCATCTCTGATCCAGTGTTTTCATAACTCAGCTATGTCCTTAATAATTAACAGGGAGTTTTACTCTTTCTGTCCATTGCTGTACCGTTTTCATTGTGGACTTCAGTGGGTTTGACTGGCTGTGGTGCCTGCTGCTGCAGTCCAGATGGAGGCAACTGACTTCTCTAGAAATTCCTGAGGTTTTCTTTGTGAAAAGTCATTTAACAGCTGTAATATCAGGTTAAGAGCTGCATACTAAAGTTAATACACAGTTTCTTTTCAGTAAGATGCAGCCGCTAAAGCTTTAAGCTGCTCACAAAGCTGTTTGAGTTGCAAGTGCCTCAGACTTATTGTCTGAGTGACTTAATGTGTTTTTATCATTCTGATTGTTCTGGAAGAGTCACATTCTAGCTTCCTCCTGGAGCTGCCAGCATCAGGACGCTCCCTGTCTTTGTGTAGTTGTTCTTCAGGTATATTCCACATCAGGAGTACTGTGAAATGTTGTTGCACCACTCATCTCTCTCTTGTCTGTGCTTGGGTACTTTGTACTAGCTGATTGCATGGTGCTGTTGTTTAAAAAATAAAAAAAAAAGATGAAAGACAAATGGGGTTTGGTAAAATCTGAGGCCAAAATTAGTCAGACCATAAATTTTTGTGATTCCAGGAAGACATCCTGATGGGTACAGCTATTAAAACTCTCTTAGAAAAATGACATAAACCAAATCTATACAGATTATAACTTGAGATTCTCAACCTAATGATCATACTTCTTGGAAGACACTAAGTCAAAGCTTTTTGCACTTAGGTTGTATGCAGAGATGTGTGAAAATACGTGCCTATAAGAAGGTGTGGGAGGGATATATATGTGTGTGTAAGTGTGTGTCTTCCTTTGCAGTGTGAATCTGAGTTATGGAAAAAAATAGCAAACCTGCTGGCACGCATCTCCCAAGGAAAAGTTAACGTGGAGGATAAGGTTTTCTCAGTGCAGGATTCTCTAGACAGAAGGCCAGGCAGAGCTGGTGTAGTTACTACTTTTGTCTCTTCCTTTTTCTTCTTTGTAGGTTTGCAGTTGCAACACCAGAGGAGCTAGCAGCCAATAATGATGACTGTGCCATTTGCTGGGACTCCATGCAATCCGCACGTAAACTCCCCTGCGGCCATCTCTTCCACAAGTACGTTTCTGGGGCTGGGGAGGATGCACCTGACTTCAGAAAGGAAGGGATATATGGGCATGTCTGAATGTCACGGCAGGATGACAAATAATGGCCTACCAGCAAAGCTGTGAATGTTTACTGCCTGGGTCATCTTGGTCTGCTTCCAACAACAAAGTACAAGTCATGTTCACTTCAGTCATCTTGGTCTGCTTCCAACAACAAAGTACAAGTCATGTTCACTTCAGTCATTTTCATGTTTGAGTTGTTTCCTCTGGTGCATTTTTTTTCACCCCAAACCAAGAGTATGCATCTTGTCAACTAATGGGTTGATAGCGTTGAGTTATGGGATCTCAACTGCAAGTCTGTCCCCTGCCTTGCTGTGTAACTGCTTGGTAAAACACACTCTTTTCCCCCTTACTTTATCCTATGCATCACCTCTTCCATGAGGACGTGTTGATTTTCAGGTGAGGAAGGAAAATTTGAGTTAGATCCTTAAGTACCTTTCAGATATCAGCTTTAAAGAGAAAACGGGGAATTTTTTTTATATAGTGCATCCTTGCATGGTGATGAGTCCTCCAGGAGAGTTGTGGAGGCCAGGTCTGATTATGTGATTTCATGGGAAGATGAGTCAGTCAGGGCTGTAAAAGAGGTTAATCAAATCAGCTGAAGAGGTCCCTAAGCAGGTGGTGGTTGGAACTGGGAGGCTTTTGGCCAAAGGAACTGTCTCTATAGAGTTCCTTACACTCAGTAGTGAACAGCAGCAGATGCTTGTGGAGACAGTGTGCTGAGCTAGATGTGCCTTTTCTTAGATCTTTTGTAGCAGTGCTTAAATTTTTACGCTTGTACTTAAAAAGGAAAGGAGATACGGTGATTGCATCAGGCGTTTCTGGAGTGCTGTGTGATTAACATGCATGGTCAGTTAAATTGTCCCTGTGGTGTCATATGAGCAAGTTACTTTCTGCAAATAGCTTTTTACTTTTCTGGTAACTGTCAAACCCAAGTTTATAATCTGTGTGCTAATTTGTTGTCATTTATGACAGACCTTGCCATAAATATTTATCTGTGTTCCAAGAAGTCTCTAATGAGATAATGTACCTCCGTAGCAGACACTCCTCTTCCAGTGCTACTGAATCATATGAATATTTAATCACCTACTGAGCACTTGAGAAGCTCAGGGTCGTCTCTTCAGAAAGTTGTTTTCTCTGTATCTAAAAGGGTCCTTTTGGATTTTTTTTTTTTTTACTGATGTTAAGATACACTTACCTCCTTGGTGCATTTGAGGGAACATGGTACAGTGGATGCCTTGCACTTACATATAAAACCAGATGTAAGTAATAACCCTGTTTACAACCTAGGAATGATTTCTTTCATAAAAGCCTGGTGATTTTGCTAAACATTGTGTCCACTCTCAATTACATGGGATTTTTTTTCATAGCCATTTATTTGGAGTGAAAGAGAAGATGGCAGGGAAGATTCACATTGCTGAGGTCAACTCTGTGCCTAAACATTAAGGAAGTTTAATGGGAGCAGGTGATCGTTTCAAGCTCTGCTGAAACTTCCTCCTTTATCTTTTAGGAAGCAGTCAACTTCAAGAGAGTTGCTGCTCTGAAATGTTGCTGACCTTTAGCTGTTAGTCATCCTTCCACTGAGGTGCTGCAGGTGACTGAGCCCTTCTGCCTGTGCGGAACCAAACGGGTATAAGCACGGCTGGCTTAGTTGCAGGCCCTGATGCAGGCTGAAGGGGCTGCGTGTCCGTTCCAGCATCGCAGTGGTTGAGCAGCAGCAGCATGGTGGGGGCTTGTGAAACACCCGGAGTGACTCAAGCGACCTTTTGAGTACAACTCCAGCAGAGGTTTGAGTTCGCTGTGCGCGGGGTGGTTTTGCTGCAGTAACAGAGGTGGAGTGGGACAGCATCGGCAGCGCTAACGCGCTGGCTGTGCTGGTGACCAAGGTGGTGGGAGATGGTAGATTTTTATTATAGTGCTTTGGTTGTTTCTGGGAAACCCATCACTAATTTCAGAACACGGCGAATCCCTCCGTTTAAATACGATAAACCACTTTGGCAGTATGTCTGTACGCTACAGCCTCAGGAATTGTGCAGAGTGCTTGTGTCCTTGACTTTGCCATAGTCCTGCAGTTGGGGTTTTTTCCTTGCTCTGTCAGCCCAAACCTGTGATCTGTGCCTTTAACTCCACTTGCAACTAAACAATTTGGGAAACAGGTTTCTGTGACCTTTTTGTATGTCTCTACCTTTCTAAAGTGTTCTGAGAGCTTCTGCTGGAAAAAGCCCCCACCCTGCAAGTGTGTAATATTGAGATGTGTTCAGTTCTGCGAAATTCAGTTCTTCGATACTGGAAATTATGTTTAACATGCCAACAAATACCGCAACTGGGTCATATCAGTCTCAGTCAAAAAGTAGGCACAGCTCCGAGTGTTTAAACCTGCATTTCAAACACTTCTCACTTTCTTCAAGACAGCAAATGGTTCAGAATTAAGTAAACATTGTACATGTAACAGCACTGGTTAATATTAACAAATCTGTTTAGAGAGTCCCAAGAGTGGTACTCCACTTTAGTGATGATTTGGGGATTGATATTTTTGAAAAGATACTTGAAAAACTTTGGAGATGCCATTGCTGCATTACACTGGCAGAACGGTTATGAAAATATGTCAGAATATTTTAAATACTTGTCCAGTTGTTTTTTGTCCTTTTTGAGTTGGGGATGGTGAGAGAAGGTAAATGCTTTGTTTTTCCTTCCTGGCAAAACTTGCTTGTTCTGATCCAGAGGGACAACAGACTTGGAGAGTGTTTTAAGTTTGTGATAAATCTGCATGCTTGTTTATAAAAAGTGAGGACTTCAGGATTTTCAGCTGAAAGAAATAAGAAACCTATGCCAGAGTCATTAGGAGCTCCTCAAGGGTATCTCACAAATTATCTCTGAGCACTCTGTGTTTATTTGTTGATGTTCTGTACAGAATATGCTACAGCTGCTTGATGTACTCATGATACCGATGTCTTGGAAAAACGCTGCGAGCTCACCATAATATTACTGTTTTTCTGTCAGCTCATGTCTGCGGTCCTGGCTGGAACAAGATACATCTTGCCCCACCTGCAGAATGTCTCTTAATATCACTGACAGCCATCATGTGAGGGAGGATCACCAAAGGGAAAATCTGGATGAGAACCTGGTCCCCGTGGCCGTAGCAGAAGGCAGACCACGCTTGAACCAGCACAATCACTTCTTCCATTTTGACGGTGAGCTAAGCAGCTTCAACACCCGATGCTGCTGCCCAAATAAATGAAGGGAACAGCCTTCTGGGGAGGAGCGTTCCATCTGTGCTTCAGTTGACACCTAAGCCGTGCTTCTGCTCGTGTTTGTTGAACGTGTATATGTTTCTTAAGGTTCTTTGCAAGAGCTCAGATGCGTGTCTCTGAGGTTGTCCAGAGGTACAGAGATTTCTTGAAAGACTTTGGACAAGTGCTCCCTTGATTTGTTGTGGTTAGCAGCTTTAATACTGGCATTTATTCATTGCGTGCCGTGTCAGTGAGCAGAATGGGAAATTCACGTGTCTGTCTTTGTTACCAGGCGGTGGTTAATCGGTGACAGTCAAAGAGGTAAAAAACCTCTGTGGTGCAGTCTAAAAGTTGCTCTTTCCCCTATTCCCTAGCTAATGTGAGCTTGTCAAAAGTCCATTTGCTGTTCAATTTACAGGAAACTTGCAATGCTTGGTTAGGTGCAGAAATCTGCAGAAGCTTATTCTTAGAAGGAATCTTGTAACCAGGAGAGTTTTATATGTTGGTTTCTTATTTTTTCACTGGTGTGTACTCACAAAGCAGATGTGATTTCAGAGCAGGATGAGTTTGTGTGTGCAGACAAACTTGTCTGAAAGAGACAATTTTGTAATTTTTGTAATTTTTTTTATAATTGTGGTATTGGTGTGTGCTTGTCTTCCACGGTTTCCCAGGTTTTTGATGGCAGTCTTGTTTCAGTGGGTTTCACTAGTGCAGATACTCAGCTTTGGGCTCTGTCCTTGTGGGGCTCCCATGATGTAGCTGTGGTGCTGCAGACTTACATAATGACCCATTCTTCATCTGTGCTGGCTTTGCTATCCTTGGAGATTGTGGGAGGAGAATAATGGGCAGAGAAGGGTCAGATATTTCTAGGTACACTGAGACTAGCTGATAGCTTCTTGCATGACTCCCACTTTTGGGGTGCTTTAGGTCTCCAAAGGGCTTTTATATTTAGAATACCACTCTGTTTTTTTGATAGCTGTCCTCCCCAGTGCTCTGATATGGCTTGGAGACCTGCAAAAATTGCTGTGGAGATAGAAGGAGAAGTGGCATAGAGCAAACCCAGTGTTTATTTAAATGGAAATTCAGGAGGAGGAGGGAGCCAGCTGTGTGTCCTATGCTGAACCTAAGCACATAATTGCAGCAGTCACTTTGTTCAGTTACCCTGTGTCCCTTCGTAGTAGTATTTGCTCAGTGATGCCAGCCAGGTAGAGCTGACCCATTTGGGGACCAGATTCAGCCTGTTTAGAAGCTGGCCTGTTTTTCCTAAAATTGTTGGAGTTATTAATGTATTCCAGAAATGGATTTGGCTCTGGATTATTTTAATTTTCCCTTCACTGGGAACATTGAAACAAAACCAGAATGTGTTGTTTTCTTGATCCTCTTCTGTCCCTCAGATTGCTAAGCTGCTATGACAGCATGTTTGAAGAGAGTATTGGCAGGTACTGATTTACTCCAGCCATTCACGTTTGTGAGACCTTAGGGATGGATTGCACTGCAGAACTCCCCATATGTACCTTGTGGAAATACAAAGACTTGTGTTAAACACGTGTAGAAGTACCTCTCCTGCTGAGAACACCATATTCTTGCTTGACTTTCACGGTGATTTCTTATTCTTAGGCTCTCGAATTGCCAGCTGGCTGCCTAGTTTTTCAGTAGAAGTGATGCATACTACCAACATCCTCGGTATCGCACAAGCCAGCAACTCCCAGCTTAATGCTATGGTAAGACTGCTTTAATAGTTTGCACCTCAGCTTTCCTGTTTGTGTTGGAGGGGGAAAAGAGGTACATGGAGGTAGAGGACGTAAGGGGGAAAGAAGTCAAACCACTGTTTAGATGCTGGGTGAAAGCTGTATTTTTGAGTGAGAGAAGCTTTTTTTAGTAAAGTTAGGGCTATGTGTTGGTTCAAATGTGCAAACATAAAAGAACAGGTCTAGAGGTAGGTAAATGAGGGAGGGAAACTACATGTACTTTCTGTGTAGATAGGCAGACCTTTTCTCAGCTTGCTTAGTGCAACTTCTGTAGCTTTGTTTCCAGTACTTCACTCGCAGCTTGCAGTAGCAAAGGGTGTGAGTGTCTAACCAGAGAATGTAACTGTTGGTCAAGTGGTAACTGATCAAACTCATTCCATAGCTTTTGATTTTTTTTTTAAGTATTTATTTTTAATAGCACTAAGCTCCAAGATAGCTGTTTCTATTTAACTGTCTTGTGTGTGTGAGATGCGGCTCTCTTGTAGCACAGTCAACTCTTGCTGATTCATGATGATGATAGGAGTGTTGAGGATGAAATCCCAGGTTTGTTGACTTCATACATAAACGCTCTAATACAGTACAGAAAGAGAAGGATACGGCCTCACGAAACACACTTAGTTCATTTAGTTTGAGGAGTGCTGTTTCCTTTGAGTTCTTAAAACTGTGTGCTATAGCATGTTAATAAATGTTCAGTGAGGTATCCCGTGGAAGTGATGGTGTTTTCTGGAAGTGAGATATCTCCGTAGCTTTCACTACTGTTTAAGCCTCAACGAGATAAGGCCACAGTTTTTAGGGGGTTTGAGGAAGGGTGAGCAGAAGCGGTAAGGTGTCGGCAGATGTTTTACTAGGTAAATATGCAGGAGGTCTCCATCTAAGGTCAGTTACATTTGTCTTTTACTGCACACAGTGACACACATGGGTTCTTGTTGAGAATGAGTAATGATCTCTTAGCATTGTGTATTATTAAAAGTACAGTAGCAACTTATATTAAAATGCCTACTTTGATGAAAAGGCCCAGGTTAGCAAACTATCAAAAGGTTACACATTTTTAATAGAAAATAAATGAAATTCTCCTTTGTATTACTGAATAAAAACCCAGGGAACTATTTTGAGGGAAAGGCCACAGGCTGAAATGCTAAATCAGTTGTTTTGGTCACGAGTTAGTACAATGGAGAGTTAGGTTTGCTGTAGTTGCTTGCATTTGAACTCGCTGTCAGCTGGTGCATAGTTTTTGCTTTGCTCTCAAAACTCCTTCCACCCATTCTCATTGTTCTCATTACTTTACTCCCTGTCCCTCCGTAACTTTCAGCATTAGTTAAAATACAGATTTTAATATTTAATGAAGTCTAGCTGTTGGACTCTAAAAGCATGTTATTTATCTGCCCTCTTGCTTTTATCTGTTTAATTTGGATATTATTTAAGTAACTTGAAATTCAATAATAAGAGTTCTGTAACATTTCAGTTTAATTTACTTGAGCTTTCAGACCTTATTAAACTGGTTTGTAGGCAGGGTGGCTGGAGAGAGTAGGTTATTAAAACTCATTCCACTTGTCCTTACCAGTACCATTCTGGAACCCATCTGGGACAAAGAAGAATGATTTTTTTTGTTTGTTTGTTATTTTTCCTTTCTAGTGTTGATCTAATTTTCAGTCACTTGTGTGACTTTTGTATAGATCTTTATCAAAAAAGCGGTTGTACAGAGAGGGTTGGGAAGCTTTTGAAGCCTTTGTGCATCTGCAAGCACTGTTCACGAACCTAAATTTTCAGGGCCATATGGTGTCTCCATAGGAGTTGCAGTTTTGCTGTTGGCTTCAGTGGAGTCAAAATACTGCCCTGTAAGTCAATGCCAGCATGGGTTTTCTTTCTCTTGATTTTCCTTCTGCCTGTGGGTTATCGTATCATAAACAGCATCTTTGAGCTGTTATTTTTTTTAATCCCTTTCTGATGAGATACTTAGCAGCTGACTTTTATTTACTGCTGATACTGACTGTATAAACCTTGCTTTCCCCAGGCCCATCAGATTCAGGAGATGTTCCCTCAGGTTCCTTATCACTTAGTTCTACAGGATCTGCAGCTAACTCGTTCAGTAGAGATCACTACTGACAACATCCTAGAAGGGCGCATCCAGGTACCTTTTCCCACACAGGTAAGTCATAAGACTGTGCACCTAAAATGACTGACACTTTATTTACCACAGAGCTGAGCCTGTTAATAATGAGTGAGGGGAATGAGGTAAGTTGAAGCACTGGTGAATCCAGCTTAGCTAGATGCAATATTATTCTTTAGATTTCACCTGTAGGAAGATGTTGCAGTTGGAAGCCCCAAGACAATTTTGGCAGTCTAGTGTATGTTATACCTCCATGTTGTGACATCTGACTTGATTGGAATGTCTCTCAGTGGTGTGTGTTTGAGATTTATGCATCTGTTCCTTGCTCTGGCCTTTAGAAGAAGGTCTTTTCTATACTAGGATGGGTCTCAGGTGTGCTTTAGCATTATCCATTTGTAATACAGGTGTCCTGGCTTTGGCTGGGATAGAGCTAATTTTCTTCCTAGTAGCTGGTATGGTGCTGTGTTTTGGATTTAGGATGAGAATAGTGCTGATGACACACCGATGTTTGAGTTGTTGCTGAGCAGAGCTCACACTAAGTCAAGGACTTTGGTCTTCCCATGCGGCCCTGCCAGCGAGAAGGCTGGGGGGGCCCAGGGAGCTGGGAGGGGACACGGCCAGGACAGCTGAGCCCAGCTGGCCAAGGGGATATTCCATACCATATGATGTCATGCTCAGTGTATACACTGGGGGGAAAGCTGGGTGGGGGGCCACTGCTCGGGAACAGGCTGGGCATTGCTTGCTTGGTGGTGAGCAGTAGTTTTTCACTTGCCTCACTTGTTTTTCTTGGGTTTGATTTCTCTCTCTTTCTGTTATTTTCCTTCTCATTACGATTTATCATTATTATTATTTTAATTTTATTTCAATTATTGAACTGTTATTATCTCAGCACATGAATTTTCTTACTTTCACCCTTCCAGTTCTCTCCCCGTCCCACTGGGGGGCAGAGTGAGCGATCGGCTGTGTGGTGCTTAGTTGCCAGCTGGGGTTAAACCACAGTTTTTTGGCACACAACATGGGACTGGGAGGTTGAGATAATGACAGATCTGACCAGAGCGTGTTAAAACAGATTTGTTGTAAGCATTCATTATATTAGTTTAATAGTTGCTGGTCACAATGCTGATTTATTTGCTCTTGGATTTGTTGTGCTTGTTCTCAGAATTGTGTTATGTAACACCTTACTTGCTGTATATGTTCCCTATTGTGATGTTTATCACCTCTTGGGACTGGATTGAGGTTATAATGTTGATGTATTGTGTAACACTGATTTATGATGTGATAAAATTAGTGGTTGTGAGACTAATCTGGTATTTGTACTCATCACTGCTGTCACCTCCGTACTTCGGGAGCCATCTCTCAGAAACTATTATTAATTACACCCTCTACCTTTCCTCCTTGGAGAGCCAATCTATGGGGGAGACAAGGAGGGACACATTCTCCCGCTCCTTCACCTTCCCCTTCTCTTCCAGGCTGCTCCAACCCCCATGACTGACACTGCAGCTGAACCGGAGAACCAACCTGTGCTAGCATCAGTCACCCCTATACACGACAAGAAATGTTGGAAGCAAAAGTCAGCTCGTCTAGTAGAGGAAGAAACTCTTTCCTTAGAAGTGGATGAGGCAGACAACTCCTCACAAGAAGAGGAGGAGGAAGAGGCAGAACTTATAAACGAGGCGGTAACCCCCCGGTCCCTATCCTGGAGTCAGCTGCGAGACATGCGAAAAAACTTCAGCCGTCGTCCAGGCGAGCACGTTGTCACCTGGCTGCTCCGATGCTGGGATAATGGGGCCAGCTGCGTGGAGTTAGAGGGTAGGGAAGCCAAGCAGCTGGGATCCCTTTCTAGAGAAGGGGACATTGACAAAGTGATTGCAAAAGGGGCAGGAGTCTTCAGCCTCTGGAAGCGACTCCTGTCAGGCGTGAAGGAAAGGTACCCCTTCAAGGACGATGTTATATGTCACCCAGGCAAGTGGACCACCATGGAGAAAGGTATCCAGTACCTGAGGGAATTAGCCGTGCTGGAGGTTATTTATGATGCCCTGGACAACAAGCAGTCATCCAAAGATCCAGATGAAGTCAGGTGCACACGACTGATGTGGTGGAAGTTTGTACGGAGTGCACCTTTGTCATATGCCAGCTCATTGGCAGCAATGACCAGGAGGGGTGGAGAGGGACAGACGGTGGATGAATTGACTGTCCAACTCCGGCAGTACGAAGAAAGGCTCACTTCCTCCCTTGTCACAGCTGTGGAGAAACTGTCCCGGGAGTTCCAGCAATTCAAGGAGGGTATGTCCTTCTCCCCACCTGTACAGACCAGTATCTCAGCTATGAAGAGTAAGCGTTCCTCTGCTCCAGAGAGAGGATATAGTGGGTACACACCACGGGCCACCCTGTGGTTTTACTTGCGTGACCATGGAGAGGACATGAGGAAGTGGGATGGAAAATCTACCTTGACTCTAGAGGCACGGGTACGTGAGTTACAAGGAAAAACCATCACAAAAGGGGGTTCTTCCAGGAAGACTGCTGCTCCTTGGTCCAGTGGGCAGTTCCCCAGACAGAGTAGGAGGGATGATCTTAATGAAGGGACTTCTGATTCGTATTTACAAGTAGTGAGTAGAAAATACTATGACCAGTACTAGACGGGCCCTGCCTCCAGCCAGGTGGAGGAAAGGGACGACTTAAGGGTTAACGGGACTCTGTAGATTTGATGGCCTGGCACGTCAGACCCACGGGAATATAAGGTTCTAGTGACCACCAGTGCACAGTGTACCCCAACGCCATCAAGCTGTAAGGGGGTGGAACCCATCTGTATTTCTAGAGTGACAGGAGGATCCCAACAGCTAACTCTATTGGAGGCTGAAGTGAGCCTGACTGGGAATGGGTGGCAAAAGCACCCGGTGACCTCGTGCATCCTCGGCAGAGACTCTGTCAGGAGAGGGTATTTCGAGGACCCAGATGGGTACTAGGGTGCCTTTGGTGTAGCTGCCTTGGAGGAAGTGGAACAGTTGTCCACCTTGCCTGGTCTCTCAGAGGATCCTTCTCTCGTGGGGTTGCTGAGGGTCGAAGAACAGCAGGTGCCGATCACGCAGCAGTGGTGGACCGGTGGCAGTACTGCGCCAGCCGAGACTCCCTGATTCCCATCCATAAGCTCACTCGTTGGCTGGAGAGCCCCAAGGGGTGATCAGCAGGACTCGTTCGCCCGTTAACAGCCCCGTATGGCCACTCACGAAGAGTGGAGACTGACGGTAGACTATTGTGGGCTGTATGAAGTCACACAGCTGCTGCATGCTGCCGTACTACTGGACATGCTGGAGCTTCCCTACAAACGGGAGTCAAAGGCAGCCCCAGGAGTGGAAACCCAGCCCCCAGCATTTGCCATGGACTGATCCAGATTGCACTGAACAGGGTGAAGCTCTGGAACACCTGCAGTACATTGATGACATCATCGTATGGGGAAATACAGCAGAAGAAGTATCTGAGAAAGGGAAGAAAATAATCCAAATCCTTCTGAAAGCAGGTGTTGCCATAAAACAAAGTAAAGTCAAGGGACCTGCACAAGAGATCTAGTTCTTGGGAATAAAATGGCAAGACAGGCATTGTCAGATCCCAGGGGATGTGATCAACAAGATAGCAGCTATGTCTCCACCAACTAGTAAAAAGGAAACATAGGCTTTCTCAGGTGTTGTGAGTTTTTGGAGTATGCATATTCCAAGCTAGAATTTGATTGTAGGCTGTCTCTATCAAGTGACCCTGAAGAAAAACTATTTCAAATGGAGCCCTGAGCAACAACATGCTTTTGAACAAATTAAATGGGAGATTGTTCATGCAGTAGCCCTTGGGCCAGTCTGGGCCGGACAAGGTGTAAAAATGTGCTTTATGCTGCAGCCAGGGAGAATGGCCCTCCCTGGAGTCTCTGGCAGAGACCATCAGGGGAATCCTGGAGTCAACCCCTGGGGTTCTGGGGTTGGGGCTACAGAGGATCTGAAGCCCACTATACCCCAACTGCAAAAGAGATATTGGCAGCATATGAAGGAGTTTGAGCTGCTTCAGAAGTGATTGGCACTGAAGCATAGCTCCTCTGGCACCCGGAGTGCTGGTGCCGGGCTGGATGGTCAAAGGGAGGGTCCCCTCTACACACCAAGCAACTGATGCCACGTGGAGTAAGTGGGTCAAACTGATCACACAACGGGCTTGCATAGGAAATGCCAGTCGCCCAGGAATTCTGGAAGTGATCAGGGACTGGCTGGAAGGCAAAGATCTGGGGGTGTCGCCAGAGAAGGAGGTGATACGTGCTGAAGAGGCCTCACCGTATAATAAACTGCTAGAAAATGAGAAGCAATATGCCCTGTTCGCTGATGGGTCCTGTCACGTTGCAGGAAGGTGGTGGAGCTGGAAGGCTGCTGTGCGGAATCCTGTACGACAAGTCACACGAACTGCTGGAGGAGGAGGTGAATCGAGCCGGTTTGCAGAGGTGAAAGACGTCCAGCTGGCTTTAGATATTGCTGACCAAGAAAAATGGTCAATGCTCTGTCTCTATCCTGACTTGGGAATGGTGGCAAATGCCTGGTGGGGGTGATTGCAGCAGTGGAAGCAGAGCAACAGGCAGTGCAAAGGCAAACCTGTCTGGGCTGCTGCATTGCAGCAAGATACTGCTGCCCGGGTAGAGAGAAACTGCTTGTAAAGTTATGTCACATAGATGCTCACGTACCCAAGAGTCAGGCCACTGAAGAACATCACAACAATCAGCAGGTGGATCAGGCTGCTAAGATTGAAGTGACTCAGGTGGGCTTGGACTGGCAACATAAGGGTGAATTTTTTATAGGTCTGTGGGCCCATGACACCTCAGGCCATCAAGGAGGAGATGCAACACAGAGATGGGCTCGAGATCGAGGGGTGGACTTGACTGACCATGGACACTTTTGCACAGGTTATCCATGAATGTGAAACGTGCGCTGCAGTCATGCAAGCCAAGTGGTTAAAGCCTCTGTGGAATGCAGGACGGTGGTTAAAATGCAACTGTGGGGAGACCTGGCAGCTTGACTGAACCATACTCCCACAAACCTGCCAAGGCAAGTGCCTTGTGCTTACAATGGTGGAAGCAACCACTGGGTGCCTGGAGACTGGTCCTGTGCCACCGCCCGGAACTCTCCTGGGCCTGTCTTGTTGTGACATGGCACCCTGGAAAGAATTGAGTCAGATAATGGGACTCATTTCTGGAACAACCTCATAGGCCCCAGAGAGCATGGCCTTGAGTTGGGTATATCACATCCCCTGCTGTGCACCAGCCTCTGGGAAAATGGAGTGATACAATGGGCTGTTAAAGACCACACTGAGAGCAGTGGGGGGTGGGACCTTCAAAGACTGGGATACACAAAGTCCCCTGGATAGTCAACACGAGGGGATGTGCCAGTCAAGCTGGCCCTGCCCAGTCAGAACTTTTACATACTATAGAAGGGGATAAAGTCCCTGTAGTGCACGTAAAAAATACACTGGGGAAGGCAGTCTGGGTTATTCCTGCCTCGAGCAAAGGCAAACCCATCCCTGGGATTGCTTTTGCTCGAGGACTTGGGTGCACTTGGTGGGTAATGCGGAAGGAGGGTGAAGTCCAATGTGTGTACATCATGGGGATTTGATTTTGGGTGAGAATAGCCAATGATTTGAATTGTATGGTATAAATTGCTGTGTAATACTGTATGCTATCACTACTATGGTTGCTGGATGCGATGCCAACACTTACTACAGTAAGAGTCATGCAGATTAATGAAGAATGACTTTTGATGGAATCAGAACTGGCTTCAGCATGCAGCAATCCAACACCACAGACCAACTCTCCTGCCCTGAAGGACTGTTATCACAGATGGAGCCCAAAGTCATGGACTAAATTTACTCAGTGGACACTTCAGAGGGGTGGGCTGTGGGCTAAAGGAGTGATGTGTGTGTGTGTATGTATCAAAAGACAGGAAAGGTGGTGGTGATTAATTGAGATGCATTGGAAAATGTGGGACCTGGGCATGACGTAGATGGTATAGAATAAAGGGTGGATATTGTCCTGGCTTTGGCTGGGATAGAGCTAATTTTCTTCCTAGTAGCTGGTATGGTGCTGTGTTTTGGATTTAGGATGAGAATAGTGCTGATGACACACAGATGTTTGAGTTGTTGCTGAGCAGAGCTCACACTAAGTCAAGGACTTTGGTCTTCCCATGCGGCCCTGCCAGCGAGAAGGCTGGGGGGGCCCAGGGAGCTGGGAGGGGACACGGCCAGGACAGCTGAGCCCAGCTGGCCAAGGGGATATTCCATACCATATGATGTCATGCTCAGTGTATAAACTGGGGGGAAAGCTGGCTGGGGGGCCACTGCTCAGGAACAGGCTGGGCATTGCTTGCTTGGTGGTGAGCAGTAGTTTTTCACTTGCCTCACTTGTTTTTCTTGGGTTTGATTTCTCTCTCTTTCTGTTATTTTCCTTCTCATTACGATTTATCATCACTATTATTTTAATTTTATTTCAATTATTAAACCGTTACTATCTCAACACATAAGTTTTCTTACTTTCACCCTTCCGATTCTCTTCCCCTGTCCCACTGTGGGGGGAGCTGTGTGGTGCTTAGTTGCCAGCTGGGGTTAAACCACAACAACAGGTATATTTTTTTATAAAGGCAATTCATAGTCTGTTGCCCATGCCCTGTAGCTTGCCCCTAACTGATGTAGTTGGACTCCAAGATGCATGAAGTGCTTGCCTATACTGTCTCAGCATGCTATATAGTGCCCAAATCCTAGGGTTTTGGTTTTTCTTTCCTTAAATCTCTGTAAATACAGTATATTCAGTCATGTGCCAAGTATACCCTGAAAATGTCCTAGCTAGACTAGAAACAAATATTTGCTCAGTTAAAGCAGCTCTTCTCAGTTGCTCTTGTGCAGAGCCTTTAGAACATTTCCAGTTGATTTCTCTGCTGACACATAATTGAATTGTACCACTTAGGAAGGTTTTCTGCAAAGAAAATAGTCGGCAAAATGATGCCTTGTTCTTAATTAGTGATAGCAGATTTCAATAAAGCAGTCTGGGGACAATGTTTCTGGTCATAAGAATATCGAATTCTGGTTCTGTGCACATCAGATAGTACTGTTATCTGAAGTCTGCGTGGGGGGAGGCAGAGAGAATTCTCTTTCAACACAGTACAGTCTGTTTATTGCTAACTTACCTGTTTCTAAATTGAACATAACGAATGACGTTGCAGAGGGCAGAGATTGAATGTGTTCAAAGAACTCGGTTTTGTTTCGCCATTTCACACACTGTATTAAACCCATGATGTTTGCATTTCAGCGTGCAGATAGCATTAGACCTGCATTGAACAGTTCTGTGGAACGGCACAGTACTGATCAGGAGGATACTGAAACTGTCACCCAGGTAATTTGGCATAAAAACGGGGAAAAAAAAGCACAATTAGAGGCTGCCCGGACAGGTAAGCGCATTTGGTTGAGGAGGTCAGGTTGGTGGCAGCCCCTCCTTGTGTTTCACACCAGAACTAACACCATCGAGTAAGACTTCAGCATGGTGCTCCTGTAAAGAATTATCTGCGTGCTTTTCTTTTTCCTCCTTGAAGGGAAGTGCTCTGGAGTAATACAAAGAACAGAAAAAAATCATGTCTCTCTACATGTCTGGTCAGGCCCATGCCCATCTGTGGAGTACTTAGCTCTTCCCCTTCCTCTTCCCATTTCCATTCTGTACGCCTCCAGACATTTCCCTTAAAATGAGTAACATATCCCTCCTGGGTGTGAGAATTCTTTTGTGGTCTAGAGGAAGCACTTGGAGTCAATGGGGAGCTTTGGTGTGAATGGAGTGGGATACAAACAGCACCAAGAGATTAACAGCCTTTATACATAAAAAGCACAATAAGGGGTTTTGCTGTTCTTCACTAGGGGTTTTATTAAGCACCACGTGCTAGCTAAAAAGTGGCAGGAATAAAAAAAATTTCCCTGTGAGTAGAATAAGGTCTCGTTCTGCTTTTGTTTTCCCTAGCTGTAGTAGCAAAATAGTGAGGGTTTCTGCTTCATAAACCTCCCTTTCCGCTGGCTTAGAAAGAGAGTGGATTTGTGAGGTGTGTGACTTTCTGCCTCTGCAGCCTTTAACAACCTAAAGAGCCGACCTGTTACCTGAAATGGAACTGTGGCAGTTCCCTTGTTAGCAGGTTGCAAGACAGAAGAAACTTCCATTTGGTTTGATACTGCAGTTGAGGCTGAAGAAGGGGTGGTGGGGATTGGTGCAGGTGTTTGATAAGAGCCCGGGATAGGAGATGCAGAACTGCAGGAATGAAAATCTTGGTCTGGGTCTAGCAACTCTCGCTAGTTTGGGTTAACTTAAAGGTTTTGGTGGCATTTTCCCCGTTCCTTTTGAGTTAAAGACCCCTCTCCTTTCTACACATGGTATTGAAGTAGTTTTTCTTAGCTTGGTGCTGGCTTCAAATCCCACTTGTGAGTGATTGTGTTGCTGTTCACCTCTTTCCTTCTTGCCCGGCGCTACCTGTGTGTCTGTCCTTCCTTCTGCAGAACTTGAAAAACCTGGGAGAGTGGTGTTGGTACGTCACGTCATTGAGCACGTGCTCTCTAACAGTGACCTCTTCTTGCTTTGAGTTACAGCAAAGCACTTCGCTCGAACGATGCGTTTTAGTTGGAGCGAGTGGCGGTTTGGATGCAGAACGGATTTTTGCTTTGTAGATCAGCCCAGTGACAGCCTGGCGATGGGCTGCGAATCTGGGGCTGCTGGTGGCTGAGTGTGTGGGATCAGCTGGTGGCCTCTGTGCAGGTTTTCCTGGATGGGTGTTTACTGTGCCAAATGGGATTCAGAGGCAAAGGCTGAAGTGGGAGACGGAGGCTGCCACGCACCAGAACTTGTTGCTGGGTAGCGTCGTGGAAGCTCCAGTTGCTGCTGCCCTCCTCCTGCCTCATAAATACTTTGTGCATTTAGTGTTAGCTTTAGGCTGGCTTCAGACAAGCCGATCACCCTTGTTACACAGCCACAGAGATCTACCCAGGAGTAAAGCTGGCTCGCCTCCTTGCTCTTGATGATACTTCTGTTGAGAGACGACTTAGGAGCCAAGGGGCATCCTTCCTCTAGGAAACTCCTGTCGCTTTTGTGTCTCTTTGATTCTGGTTTCAGTTTTTAACTGAGTACCTGGCATATTGTAGATGTTCTCTTTCTTCTTGCCAGAAGAATATGTTGCTGTAGTCAGTCAGGCTCTTGTCTGCGTGGAAAGGTCTAGCAGCAAACAAGCTACTGCAGCAGGCTGCACTTGATTTTTAAGCAGCTTTTTAAATGCACGTGGGAAGGGACATCATCATCATCATCTCTTCTAGGTGAGACTTGAATTTCCAAGTTGTGGATAGATGTAACTTCGCACTTTATGCATGGGCCCTGAGAGAGACTGTTGCAGCTCTAGTTGCTTTGTGCTGCAGCCTTAGGGGAAGTTTACAAGCTTTCCTTTTCTTCTTTTTTTTTTTTTTTTTAAATCAACATACCCACTGGAAATCTTTATAGATCTCTGTCAGCAAGTGGCGGACCCATTGGAGTTCTCATTGGCAATAACACTTCCTAGGGGAGCTAATGTGCTCAAATAAAAACACCCTTCCAGATGAGTAGCATTGGTTTTCCTCTGTGGCGTACATCATATTATGATTTAATTCCATGTAGAATTCAAAGGTCTTAAGATAGAGATGATGACTGATTTATGTCCTCCGTTTCCTCCCACCCTCCATAGACATGTAGTTTATGGTTTTAGGGTGTCCGCGCTGACGTAACGTAACGGTACTTGAGAGATGCCTCTGAGCACCAGCACGGTATAAATTCTGTGGAAGGTTTGTGTGATAATGCTCTAAACATTGACGCTTCTGGCAGCCCTGGCCGGTGCAGGTGGCAGGCTGCTGGGTCTCCAGTTGTGCACCGACCTGCTAGTGCTTCCAGCCTTGCGCTCTGCGGCTCCCGCTCCACCCCTGTCACGTTGGCCCTCGCTCCCCTCTTCTCTGACTCTGCTGTTACTCCCTGTAACATCCCAGAGCAGCCATAGCTACTTCCTGCAAGCTTGTATTTTTCACGTGCTAAAACACATTTAAATATTAGCCTTGAAATGTTTTTGTGTCTTTAGCAGTTCCTGTAATCCTGGGTGGAGGTTGGGTAGGACTGCTCAGACCTAACTGGTGAGCTGTTGTTCCAAAGCTGAAGCTTGCCTGCTGCAGCTCCTGCCTGCGCCTCCCCAGTTTATCCCCGTTGCTCAAGTGCTGGGTGCCTCTGTCTAGAGACACTTTTGAGGCGTCCCATGGCTTTTATGAAACGAGCTCTTTTTCTCTCGGAGCCTGAAGGAGGAGTAGTTTCTGTAGCGTAGGGGTTTCTGGATGTGAGATCTGCTGTCACGCTGAGGCTTGTCATAACCTTTACTGCAATTAGTTTTGATATTTTTGTCTCTAAAACCTCCTCAGTAACCGCTCTTGTGCTCAGATAGAGGAATGGGCTCTGGGTATTGATTTTTGTATCTTTGTACGAGAAGCCTTAGGGGAGGTAGCTTGCATCTTCTGACACAAGCGGTCCCCGGCGCGGGGAAGAAAGAGCGATCCTGTCAGACCACCAGCCTCCACGAGCGCCGTGCTCCCTGCTTTCCCCAGCAGAGCTTCCCTGGTCCGTGTGCGCCGGGGGAAATGGGAGGCAGCAGTCGGGTCGCTCCGTGCTCGTTCCTCTGGGTCTGCCGAGGCCGCCTTGGCCCCGAGTACCGTCCGTGGGATGGTGCCGCGGGGCCCTCGGCTGTGCCGTGGCTCTGAGCCCCCCGCGTTACCCCAGGGCATGGGGGTGTGTGCTTTGGGGGGCCCTTCCCGGAATAGCCAGCGTGCTGGGTTGTTTTTTTTTTTTTGTTTGTTTGTTTTTTAACTGCAGCAGGCTGAAGGCGTGTGCTTGCGCTCTGAGGTTGCGGTGTTCCTACGGCTCCGGCGTTCCTGCCTCCTGCGCCTCGTTGAGGGGAGGTGACATCTGCCTTGGTGGTTGCCCTCCGGAGGCGTCGCGTCTGGGAGGTGGCGCTCCTGGCGCGCCCCTAGGGCCGTGGAACGCCTCGGCTCGTTCTGCCCGCCAGCTGCTGAAGGCCGTGCGTTGCACGCTGTGACGCCGCGGGGACCGGAGCAGCCGGCCCCGCGCCACCGCCTGCGGGGGCACCAAAGGCCCCAAACCGGGCGGGAGGAGCTGCCTTGGCTAATTCCCCTCTGCTGCATCCCGCTCGTTTGAGTAATCCTCAGGGATACCAAGTAACATCTCAACCCTTAAGCCCATCGTTGGGGTGATTTGTTGCTTGACGCCACCGCGCTCGGTAACATCTTGCTTCTCCACCGCAGAGCTGGTCTGACCGTATACGACAGGGTGTTTCGCCTGTGCTAGTTCACCAGTGTCATCATTCACCAGCTCAGTGTTCACGTTAGTGTTGTTGGCCAGCTGTCAAGGGCGAGGAGGTACCCTGTGCGGGGCTGCCAGCTTCTTTTATTGACACGCCGTGCTTGGGACCGTTGCCAGCCGTGCTCTGGCAGCCCGAATACACGATAATTCGGGTGCTGCAGAACCCGGTGAACCGAAACCTCATAAATTCCCTTCCCAAGCACGCATCCTCTTCGCTAGTTTTTCCTTAGTTTATGGATTGCTGCTTTTTCAACTCTACTGTTGCACTGCTTGTCAAGTCAGCTGCAGGATCTGACTATTTCAAATGCCCCGTTTTCATAGAGCGGTAATTATGAGTAATTAATGTTTGTCTTTGAGATTACTTTCAAACGTGGCATGAAAGATACAGCGTTGTAGAATACAGGCGCTTTGAACATGTTCTGAAATAGCTTTGTTCTGTGTTTGGACTGGGGTTTTCAAAGGAGCCCGAGGGAATTGGGTACAGCAGGTGAAAGTCTAGTTTCTTCCAATGCCTCCAAAAATGAGAGTTCTTTGTAGCTTGTTTGATTTGATGCAAATAAGCCCTGTTAGCAAATTTTGCAATGACTTACGACTTTTCCTTTCCTCCTAGACTGAGAGGGTGCCACTCGAACTCAACTCAGGACTGGATGAAATGGTGGAATTCAGCGAAATGGAAGCAGAGCCTAGCCAAGCAGAAGATTTTGAGGCCAGGGGAAGTCGATTTTCAAAGTCAGCTGATGAAAGGCAGCGGATGCTGGTTCAGCGGAAGGAGGACTTGTTGCAGCAAGCTCGAAAGTACGTTCCTTCCTAAAACACCAGCCTGGCCTCTCGGTTACAGTCCCCCAGAAGGGGTTTCAGACGGGTTCTAAGAGCCTGGGCTGAGGCAAAAAGTAGTAAGAGGAATGAATGCATCTGCTACAGCAGGCTCGGGCTGCTGGTTAAGACAAAACCGCCGCTGATAAAACCAGTTACTGGAGTAGCAGCATGTGTCCCAGCGCGTGCACAGCGGTCGACCCAAGGCTCGCTGAAATCAGCGGGTGATTTCTCCAGCCTCGGTGGGCTTTGGTCTGAGCTGACATGGCAGCTGGTGGCTCACGGGGCCGCGCCGGGGAGCTCAGGACCTGAGTCCAGGGAGAGAGCGGCCGACTTCAACTGTTTCTTTTAGCCCAACTGGTAATAAGTGCTAGGGGTTAGAAATTTTTTTCCACGTGTGTTCCAGTCATGTTGGTGAGCTTTACGAGCATCCAGTTGCTGATTAAATAGAGAAGGAAAAGTGCTTTAGTGACATAGAGAAAACTTTTCAGCATTTGTAACAAACGTCGTCCCTTCCTTCGTATCGCAGGGAGACACTGAAAGGGTCTGCAAACACTGCACGGAGTTACGTGTCCCTTGGTCTTACCAGGCTACTGACGGTTTGGTTTGGTTCTTTTTCCCGCTGAAAAGCCTTCGTATAAATACCTGGGGGTATGACACCTTTTAAGGGTTGGTCTATAAATAGGCTTGCTCCTGGAATAATTTTTCCTTGATGTTTGAGAAATGTAATTTAAGGAGACAAGGTATTTTTGACTTTCTGTTTTACTGGTTCCCTTCCCGCGTTGAAGAGCCGTGGAACCGCAAACTACTCTCTTTTGTCACTAAGTGTAAAAATTCATTGGGTCGTTAGCTCTGGCAGCGGCTTCCTTGTATTTTCGCCTTGCCTTACGCTTTGCAGCCGTAGTGCCCCTTCTGGCAGAGGCTTACCCCTCGTCATCAGGGAGTGACTTCTTGTGGTAGGCCCCGCCAGCGTCTTACCGGCGGTGGGGGATCGGGGAGGGAGGGACTCGGTGACTCGCCGGCGGTCTCGGTGAATGGCTCTGGGTTGGGAGTAGAGCCCTGGCTTTTATCCCCCCCTCCCACGGGCACGAGGATCTTGCACAAAAACTAAGAGCTCCTGCCAACCCTGCAAAGTCTATCCATCAGTTACATGGTCGTCTTTGTTTTTTGGGTGCGTAGCTTCTGTGCGCTTTTATCGAGGTATTTCCCTGCTCTCAGCGTGCCTTGCACCCTCGCTTTGTGGTTGTACTCGGTGAAGTGTTTTCCGGAGTCAAAATGAGGCGGGCTCCGCTCACCCATCTTTTCCTTTTGCTTCTTGCAGGCGCTATTTAAACAAAACCTCCGACGAGGAGCTGAGCGCGGAGAAGCCCGAGGGAGCCTCCGCCGACCCCGTCACCCTGCGCCGCAGGACGCTCGCTGCCGCCGCCGAACGGAGACTTCAGATGCAGCAGAACTCTTAGCGCTCGTCGCCCCTCCTTCCTCCTCCTCGTGAGCAATGTTGAATAAATCAGTTAAATACAAAAAAAAACAAAAAACAAAAAAACAAAACAAAAAAAAAAACAACCCCTGCGCATTCTGTACCAGCAGGAAAGTGTCTCTTCAGAGTTCGGCCAGCTGTGCCGCCGAGTGAGCTGGCTGCCTCTCTGCTGTATAAAGCATGTGGTCTAATGATGTTGGACAGCTGACAAATTAACCTTTTTTTTTTTTTTTTTTTTTTTTTTTTTTGTAATATTTTCTATGTGACGTTGACCCCCCCTCCGCAAACAAAAGGCCATTTCTAAACCGCGGGCGTGAGTTCTGCAGCTAGCACGAGGTGTTAGGCTGACTGCCCAGCAGAGGCTGGGGAGAGCGTGTTCTGATTCAGCAGCTGGGGGTGCAGGTGGCGGAGGGCACCGACGTGCAGCTCGAGATCAGGGAGAGTTACTCCAAGAGGGAAGAGAGCTTAGAAATTCGCAGCAAACCCAGGGATAGATGGGCAGGCACCCGCTCTTCGGTCCCCCCTTCGGCAGCGAGGGGGCTTAGGTGGGCTGGCTGGGAGGGCTGGGGTAGCGCCGCTGGGGAGTCCGTCCTCGGGCTGGGTGGAAGTTGCCCAGCCGCGTCGTGCAGGAAAAACTGAACTCACGACCTGCGCAGCGAAGCGCCGATTCGCATCAATTCCAGCATAAAATAATCTGTGTGGCGTTGCTGGGCTCTCCTGCGCTGGCAGGCGTCCGGCTCCCTTCGCTCCCCAGGGCTGCGCTGTTTTCGTTGCCTTTTGTGGCCAGAAACAAGTGAGAGGCCGAGGGGAACCGAGTGAAGAAAAGGGGCGCAAGGCGAGGTTCCGGCCCCTGCAGCTCAGTGTTACTGTACAAGCCAAGGGAGTACAATAGAAAAAACCCGCCTGTTCTGGACTCCAGAGCAACACGGATGGGACCTCATGGAGATAGCTCTGATACCTTGTTTTTTATTTCATTTCCAACCCCACAACTTCACCGTGAGTTTATTCAGAAGGACTGGAGGATTGGGGGCAGCTGGACCCGAGGCTGGCTGCAGCCCAACCTGCTCACCTCTGATTTTTCTACAGAACTCTTGACACAAGATCCACTTGGAGCCGCCGACGCTAGCTTGCATAGTTGAATTTTACATGGCAGTGACTTAATTTTTAAACTTCTGAAGAGTGAGTTCTAGTATCACTGTCCTTTAGAAGGAGCCCAGTATTATCTAGAATTGTTGGTAACTTTTTTTACTGTTGGTTTTTAGGACATTTTAAGGTGAATTTAACGAGAGGAGTTGCATCGATGTTTAGGTGAAAATAATTTATTTCAATAAAACTCTTTGGGAAGCCTTACCTTGCAATGCTATTAGTAAACTTCAAAGAATTTTTTTGAGATCTTTGGTTTTGCTCAAAGCACAGCTGTTTTGTTTTTACTGTTAAAAAACCCCCAAACAAACCACAAATAAAATCTTGGTCAGTGTTGGAAAGCGTGTGGAAATTTCTGTGGTGTGACTTCTGGTGTTCCTGGGTTTGTAAACGTGGCGCCTGCCCCGTGGTCCCTTTCGCTTCCCCCCTTCCTGTCGCCTGTAGGAACGTTGTCGCGAAGCGGTAATTGCTACCGGAATTCAGTCGTGCTGTGAACGTGGAAATAGAAGAGAAATTGCGGCTTGAGGGACTGTGAAAATAAAGTGGGGTTTGGAACTGTCTGGCAGCGTGTGGAAGGGGTGAGAGCTGTTGCACGCGCGAGCAGTGCAGAGCTTGGGTCTTCATTCAGGGAGCAGAGTTGACTTACCTCCGCGAGTGCAGATGGGAAAGGGGGAAACAGCACCGAAATCTTTCGGGGGGGGGGGGGTGTGTGGGGGGGTGTGGGGTGTGTGTCTGTGTGTGTGTGTGTCTGTGTGTGTGTGTGTGTCTGCGTGTGTGTGTGTCTGCGTGTGTGTGTGTCTGCGTGTGTGTGTGTCTGCGTGTGTGTGTGTCTGCGTGTGTGTGTGTCTGCGTGTGTGTCTGCGTGTGTGTCTGCGTGTGTGTCTGTGCGTGTCTGTGCGTGTGTGTGTCTGTGCGTGTGTGTGTCTGTGCGTGTGTGTGTCTGTGTGTGTGTCTGTGTGTGTGTCTGTGTGTGTGTCTGCGTCTGTGTGTGTGTCTGTGCGTGTGTGTGTCTGTGCGTGTGTGTGTCTGTGCGTGTGTGTCTGCGCGTGTGTGTCTGCGCGTGTGTGTCTGCGCGTGTGTGTCTGCGTGTGTCTCTGTGTGTCTCTGTGTGTCTCTGTGTGTCTGTGTGTGTCTCTGTGTGTGTCTGTGCGTGTGTGTCTGTGCGTGTGTGTCTGTGCGTGTGTGTCTGTGCGTGTGTGTGCGTGTGTGTGTCTGTGCGTGTGTGTGTCTGTGTGTGTCTGTGCGTGTGTCTGTGCGTGTGTGTGTCTGTGTGTGTCTGTGTGTGTCTGTGTCTGTGTGCGTGTGTGTCTGTGCGTGTGTCTACGTGTGTGTGTGCGTCTGTGTGCGTGTGTGTCTGTGCGTGTGTGTGTCTGTGTGTGTGTCTGTGTGTGTGTGTGCGTGTGTGTCTGTGTCTGTGTGTCTGTGTCTGTGTGTCTGTGTTTCCGTGAGTTCCTCCTCTGAGCTGCGTTTCTGGGAGGTTTTGTACACGGTGATGCAAAATGACCCCGGCTTCACCTCGGCAGGGGGGAGCGCCTGCCAGCGGGCTGGGTTTGGACCTGGCTTTGGGCTTGCCAGATCTCCACCGCGCTGGCCCGTCCTCCCCCAGCCTGCCGCCTGCCCGGGGAGGGAGAGCTGTGCCGGGAAGAGGTTTCCTTCCCCCCCTCCTCAGCCCCGGCGGGTGAAGGGCCCCTGGTTCCCCAGTGGCGCACCAACCGCCGCCGCCTGCTTCTGCTGCTCGGGGACCTGTGTGGCACCTCGGCCAGCCCGAATTTCACCACTAAAAAAAAAATAAGAACCTGGAAAGGTTCTGGTGAGGCCGCTCGTGTCGGTCACCAGCTCACTGAGGGCTCCTGCTCTGGAGCCGAGTCCTCCGTGGGTCGCAGGGGATGGAGAGGAGGGTGCTGTGGGCCCGTCCCGCATAAACCCCGGGCGCCGCGACTGCTGGGGCTGCAGCGGCGAGGGGTAAAGGGGCTGCTCCTGGAACTAACCCGGGGGGGGATTCGGAGAGTTTTCCTCCTGGCTAGATCCCCTCCTCTGGTTGGATTCCTGAGCTTTTTCCCGGCGGCTGGTCCCTCCGCTCCCGCGGGAGCAGGCCCCGCCGTCGCAGCGCCTTCTGCCTCGCCGTACCGCCAGGAACACAGGGCGGTGGGGAGCTGGGGGTGCGCGATGGAGCAGCTTTTCTAACGGCCCCCCCCTCCCCGAGGGCCACGCCGGCCTAGAGCCGGGGAGGGGGGTTCTGGCTGCCTGGGGGGGACCCTTCCCCACGGGCCCCCGGCCGGGTTTGGGAACGTGCCGGTGGCTCGGGATGGAGAGAAGCCCCGTCCCGGGCTGCACCAGAGCCACGCGGAGGGACAGCCACAGGAGGAGAATGCAAAAAAATCCCCAAATTTCGAAAAAAAAAAAAACAAAACCAAACAAACAAGCAAACCCCAAAATGCTCCTGCAGCATGGAGAAAACCTCAACCTCCTTGGAGAACCCTCCTCGCTGTCTTAGCGGGGAAAAGCTGCACGTTGTGGGGTTTCTGACGTTGTCACGAAACACAGGACTCGCCCCAATGACTGTCTTTGCATTCCCCAAAGAAATAAATAAAGATATTGTCTCGCTTGGGGAGGTTTTTTTTTTTGGGGGGGGGGGTGGGGGGTGGGGATTTTTGCTCCCGGTGCTGGTCTGACACAACCCGAGCCATCTGGAAAGGCTTCCACATGCCGCCCTCCCAAAATTGACACCGAATTCTTAGCTCAGCCCCTCCTGCCTGCGCTACCAGCAGCACCACCCCAGTGTAATTTTTTAGTATTTTTTTCTTCCTCCCTTAGGACGGAGGCAGGCAGGCACGGGGGGAAAGAAGCAGGCGGAGGCGCGGGAGGGGAGAGCCCGGGGTACAGACAAACATTCTCTTTATTGAGCTACACATGAATTTTTCCATTAGTCAGAGAAAGAGATTGGCAGTGTGTAATATATCACAGAAACCTCACTGATTGGTAATAGAAAGGCTTAGAAAGACCTGGCGCTTTATATATATATATATATAATATTTTTTATTTTTTTTTTTTTTTTTAGTTTCCTCTTTATTTATTCATTTTCTTTTAAACAGGTGTGACTGCTCTTCTTCAGCAAAGGTAACTCGTAAAAGTGAAACCGTGAAGACGTCTGGTTACTAATCAAAGTAGAAATGACGGAGGATTGGTCATGAAAACGGTGGCTTCAATGTAAACACTACATTCGATTTTTGATTTTTTTTTTAAATTATCTTTTGTGGTTTTGTGTGTTTTTTAAAATTTTTAAATTATTTTCATTCTTGCTTTTTTTTTTAAAGTTTGTTTTTTAAGTTTTTTTTCTTTTTTTTTTCTTTTTTTTTTTTTTTATTTTGCAGCACAAACATCCCCACATGAGAGAGAAAAAACACCATTCACTAAAAGGGAGAGAGGACTTGGGCGGGGCGGGGGGGGGGAAGAAAAAAGCAGCACAAAAAAGCATTCACTGGAAAGAGTTAAAAATTAATAAAAACCAACCAAAAAAAAAAAAAAACCCTAAACAAACAAACAAAAAAAAGATAAAATAAAATATCTATATTTGTATAACCCTCCCCGACGCCCCCGGTCGGCCCCGCAGGAGGGGCGAGGGGAGGAGGCCTGTCCGGCGCGGCCGAGCTGTGCTTTTGGACGTGAACCTGGAGAGAGAGCGGCGGCTCGGAGCAGGGAGTTCTTAAACCAGGGGGGGAGTGAAAACGGGGGAAAAACCCGCCGGCTCCTGGCTAGCTGCAGGCTTCGGCCTGAAGCGGGTGGGAATTCAGAAGAATCTAACCCCAAACCCCCCAAACCCTGGGGAGGGAGAGGCAGGAGGATGCTCCCACCGCAGCCTTCCTCCCAAAACGGCCAGGATGGGAAATGGGAAAAAAATTTCTTGTCGCTGTTGGTGTTTCCCTTTTTAGCTACGACGCATGGCTGGGGGAAGCTTTCAATTTTTTTCCCCTCCTTTTTTTTTTTTTTGTTTTGTTTTTTTTAAAAAAAAAGTATCTTTTAGTTTCTCGAGGCAGCGGCTCACCCAGGCTGTGGGTAGCGGCAGGGCCGGGGTCAGGCGGAGGCAGCCTGGCTTTCCCCACGCTGGAAATAAAAATAATTAATCATAATAATCATAATAACCATAATTTAAAAAAAAAGCCAACCCACAATTATTAATTCTAATAATTAAAAAATAAAACCCCACGGTCAAATAACTCATGGGGGGAGAAGCCCCCCCACCCCGGCACAGCCCCGGTGGGGGCGCGGGCAGGATCCGGCCCCATTTTGGCCGTGGGGCGACCCCGGGAGCTGCCCCTTTGCCCCCCCCGGCCGGGGCCCAGCGCCCTGTGAGGGAGACACCCCCGGAGGTGCCCCCCCAGCCCCGGGGTGCCCCCCCGGCTGTGACACCGGGGGACGGTGGGAGGGAGGGCTGGAGCCTGCCAGGGGAATGGGGTCTGCCCACAGCTCCTTCAGACAAACTAAAAAGGTGGGTGCGGATTTTTTTTTTTTTATATATATATATACGTATATATATAATTTTTCCTTATGCCTTTTTATTTACCAACTTGCATGATTATGATTACGATTTTTTTTTCCTCTCATTCAATCTGTATTTTTTTCAACTTGTTTCACTTTTTTTTTTTTTTTTTCTGCACGCGCGTGTGTTTGTGTGTGTCTGTGTGTGGTTGCGTTGTTTTTTTTTTTGTTGTTGTTGTGGTTTTTTTTTTGTTTTGTTTTGTTTTTTAAATTTTTGTTTGTTTCTTTTCTCTCCTGGCGCCGGGACCTCCACCAAAGAAGTCGCTTTGCCCGCGGGGGTCAGTACAAGCCGCAGCCCCGCAGGTTGTTGGCAATGATGATGTCGGTGACGGCATCAAATACCACCTGGATGTTGTTCGTGTCTGTGGCGCACGTCATGTGGCAGTAAATCTCCTTGTTGGGGGAGCGGTTTTTGCTCTCGAATTGTGCTTGGATGTAGGCGGCTGCGTCCTCGTAGGTGTTGGGACCTGCGGGCAGAGGTGGGGGGGACAGAGCGGGGGGCGTCAGGGCCGCGGCCCACCACCCCCTCTCCAAGCACCCAGCCCCTCGCTGCTTGCAAAATACTTTATTTATTAAAAAAACAAACAAACAAACAAAAAAAAAAAACAAAAACCCAGGCAAAACCTATTTATTTTTAAGTTTTCCCCCCGGTTCACCCCTCGCCACCTCCATTTCCCCTTTTTCCCCCCTCTCACCTCCCTCCTTTCCCCACAACCTGCCCTTTCCCCCCTCTTTTTTCCCCCAAACCGCGGAGCACCGGAGCGCTGCTGGGGTTCCCCCCGCTCCCCGGCTGTTGCAGTTTTGC